CACCGGCGTGGATCATGGAGGTGCGAGCCACCTCCATGACCAAACCGATGCGTTGCTCAGCGACCCCATTCTGCTGCGGGGAGTCCGGCAGGGTAAACGTCTGGGTGATGCCCTCCGCACGACAGAAGCGACCAAGGACACCTGAGGCAAACTCGCCACCGCGGTCGGAGTGGAGGCGCAAGGCAGGGAGACCGCGGTGGACACGAGCAGAGACAAGCCAGGGGATGAGAACGTTAGGCACGTCGGCCTTCCGCTCCAGGGGAAAGACGGTGGTGTAGCGCGTGAAGTCGTCGACAAGCACTAGGAAGAAGCGCTCGCGACGCGGCCCATGGACGGGGGCTGGGCCCCAGACGTCCATGTGCAGAGTCTGCAGTGGTGCGGTGGTAGGGGGAAACGAGGAGGAGTGAGGGGCACGGCGGAGCCGGCCCTCGACACAAGGCGTGCACGGGGGGGCGGGGGAGGAGGGAAACTCGGGGAACGAGCCGGGGAGACCAAGGACAAGACCTTGCTGGGACATGTGTTGCAGACGCGGGAGTGCAGGGTGACCAAGGCGGTGGTGCCAAAGGAGAGTCGGGTGAGTGAGAGACCGACAGGAGCACGCAGCAGCAACCTGGGTGGACGCAGTGACCTGGGGGGAAGACCCAGCCGGGAAAGTCGCGGTGTCAAGTGTGAACAGGCCGGACACCGGGTCCCGGGGGAAAGTGGTAAGGGGGGCACCAGTGGCGGCCTCGGTACAGACAGCATACCGCTCGTGACCAGGGAACGTAGTGGTGACGCCAAGGTCTTGGAGGCAGCCGACACCAACTAGGTTCCTGGAGAACGAGGGGAGATGCAGACCTGTGAGCGAACCTGAAGGAACCGCCGGACAGGGAAGGGAGGTGGAACTGCGGGCAACGACTGGACCACCGGAGGGGTCAGCAAGAGTAACTGCAGCGGGAACAGGCAGCGGCGTCAGCGTCGTGGAGTCGCGGAAGAAACACCGGGAGGCGCCAGAGTCCAAGGTGAAGGAAAGCGCAGCAGTCGCGCGAGGCGGCAGAGAAGCGGTGGAAGCACCGAGGCTAAGCAAAGCAGGAGATCCTACGCCTGACGCAGCAGGGGAGTCTACGCTAGGAACATCTACACTAGGCAACACGGGGTAATAAGAGGGAAGCACACTAGAGTCATCAGCATACATCACATGCAAGGCTGCTACAATGGCATCCATGTCCAAGTCAAAAATCTGAATGCTACGCCTAAGCAAGCTGTGCCAGTCCGGGAGGTCGGGCGCCGGGCCAAAGCGCTGACGGAACAGGTCGTCCAGACGACGAAAACAGCGAGGAGTGGAATGACCGATCTTACCGCAAACGAAGCCGCGGCGAGGACCGGTCTGGATCTGGTACTGACAGCGCCCGCCTCCAGAACCACCACCCGGCGCACCACCACGCGCACGACCACCACCAGCTCCAGGCCACCCAGGCGGGAGGGCACTCGCCTGCCTCGTCTGCGGCGGGTGCTGCAGCTGCTGCGGAGGCTGCGGCTGCGGCGACTGCTGCTGCTGCTGCGACTGTGGAGGCAGCGGGGCAGCTGGACTGGGCAGGGTCCCCACGTCCGCTCCGGCACCGGACGACCCGACTCCACCACCACCCCCTCCTGCACCCCCGCCGCCTCCGCCGCTCCCAACCTTGGGGCGGCGGCCCTTCCCCGAGCGGGACTGCACTTCAGCAGCAGTCTCAGCCACAGCGACAGAGCCGTCGGAGAAGGTACACTGAGCGGGGGCACAACCCTGAAAGATAGGGACCGGTACGGTACCGCTCGCCTGGGCGATGGAGCGGTGACGAGTCTCTATAACAGTCAGGGTGTCTACAAAGTCGGTGAGGGTGAGTGCAGCGGGGTGGATGCTAAGGAACTGGTCGCGGGCGGCGGCAAGGCGGTCAGGGAGGCGAGTGGCAAGGAGGTAGAGGGTAGAAGTCATGGGGGGCTGGTGGGCTCTAAGCTGTGCATCAGTGCAGGCAGCGCGCCAGGTCTCATCTATCGAGCGCAGGTGGGCAGCTAGGTCAGAGACAGTGGGGAAAGACGCAAGGTCAGGAAAGAGCAGGGGGAGGATCAGGCGACCCACTGAGGCAGCAGGAGGGGTAGAATAGCGCTTGATGACAGCATCGAGGTAGGCCTGGGCGGTAATAATGGTTCTAAAGCGAGGGCGCTCAGGGGGGGGGAGGGCATTGCTAATGGCGAGCTGAGCAAGGGCATCGCGGGAAAGCCAGACAGAGCGGGCAAGGGCAGCGGCGGCAGTGGACTCGCGCTCAGCGGGCGTGGGATCAGCGGGCAGCACGGCAGGGGGGTCAGGGCAGGGGAGCATACCGTCTAGGTGGGCGGAAAGCGGGTGGCCGTCCTGCCGCTGACCAGTGAGGTGGCGGCGAAGGTCAGCCAGCCACGCCTCGAACTCCAGAGGCTGACCCTCAGCATCAAAACGAAGCTCAGCAGCCATCAGGGGCAGTGGAGGACGTTGGAGTGCAGGGCAGTGCGGTGCAGTGCGATGCAGGGCAGTGCAGTGCGGTGCAGAGCGATGCAGTGCGGTGCAGTGCGGTCCAGTGAGGGGCAATGCGGTGCAAGGCGGAGCAGGGAAGGGGGGACAGTACCGGGAAGTATGTAGGGCCGGGGCAGGCGCGACGGGACCGGGCAGGCGCGACGGGGCCGGGCAGGCGCAACGAGGGGCCAGGCAGACGCGACGGGGCCGAGCGGCTGCGACGGGGCCGGGCGGCTGCGACGGGGCCGGGCGGCTGCGACGGGGCCGGGCGGCAGCGACGAGGCCGGGCGGCTGCAACAGGGGCCGGGCGGCTGCGACGGGGCCGGGCGGCTGCGACGGGGCCGGGCGGCTGCGACGGGGCCGGGCGGCTGCGACGGGGCCGGGCGGCAGCGACGAGGCCGGGCGGCTGCGACGGGGCCGGGCGGCTGCGACAGGGGCCGGGCGGGCGCCACGGGGCCGAGCGGCCGCGACGGGGCCGAGCTGGGGCGACGGGGCCGAGCGGGCTCGACGGGGCCCAGGAGGGGCACGACAGGGCCCTGGGGGGGGCGCGACGGGGCCCAGGAGGGGCGCGACGGGGCCCAGGAGGGGCGCGACGGGGCCCAGGGAGGGGCACGACGGGGGCCTGGGAGGGGCGCTACCAAGCCCAGGAGGGGCGCGACAAAGCCCAGGAGGGGCGCTACGAAGCCCTGGAGGGGGGGGGGGCGCGACGGGGCCTGGAGGGGCGCTACGGGGCCCAGGGAGAAGCGCGACGGGGGCCTGGGAGGGGCGCTACCAAGCCCAGGAGGGGCGCGACAAAGCCCAGAAGGGGCGCTACGAAGCCTTGGAGGGGGCGCGACGGGGCCTGGAGGGGCGCTACGAAGCCCTGGAAGGGGCGCGACGGGGCCTGGGAGGAGCGCGACGGGGCCTGGAAGGAGCGCTACGGGGCCTGAAGGGGCGCTACGAAGCCGTGGAAGGGGCGCGACGGGGCCTGGAGGGGCGCTACGAAGCCCTGGAAGGGGCGCGACGGGGCCTGGAGGGGCGCTACGAAGCCCTGGAAGGGGCGCGACGGGGCCTGAGAGGAGAACGACGGGGCTAGGGGGGGGGGGTCGCGACTGGGCTCAGGAGGGGCGAGGCTAGGCTAGGAGACGCGACGATAGGGGCGGAAGCGGTAGGTGGGGGGGGGGGGGGGGTCGAAACCTACGCGTGATACCATCTCAAAACTAGAATTTAATGATGATTAGTGAGAGAGAGTACATGCACATATACCTAAATGTTGTACCCTCTAGGAGGTTACCCTATACGGTCTATACAAACATGATAAATAAACATGTTTGACACAAAAAACTCTGTGACAACACCATGCGCCCGCAAGAAGGTTAGATAAACAATCAGATGTTTACCGCAAGTACGGTCAGTGCTCTCGTCGCAGCTGATGCCGAGGTAGGGTGAGGCGAGAATGTGTTGCATTTGTCGGCGCTGCAGGTAGGATGCCAAGCTGCTGACGAGCTGACAGAAGCCATACCTGTAGTAGCAGAAGTAGTAACAGGGTGTTTGATAGACCTATTAAAAAAGAAAAGGATTTGCTGTACTTGGAATCAGTGCATTACCGTGTCAGGTAGACTCCGTAAGTCAGCAGCGGAATGTCTGGGGTCTCCTGCTCGGCCATGAAGCGGAGTAGCCTCGGGTACAGCCGCGCTGCGCTGGCATCGTCTGCATAGGGATGATTGGCGCTGTGATGTCATACAGAGGCACCGCTCAGCATATTCTGTCCTCGTCTGCTGCGTGCTGAGTCACGAATGCCAGGCTGGGGCAAGACGGAGTGCACCATCCCACATTTAACGGTTGGAAATGTTGCTGCGATGGCAACATGCAGCGTGTACACGGCGGGAATGTTGCCAAGTGCAGATTCTCCACGTGACGCAACCAAGGCGTATTCAATGGACTAGGACCCGTCACGCGTAAAGGGGCCATTTCGGCGAAACTCAGTGTCCGCATGGATGTCGCATTCAGGGTTCGTACGCGTTACTCCCTAAAAACTCAGTTTTGGGATAATGCAAACCCTGAAATTCTAAGTGTTCACAGACATACAACCCTGAAGAGGTTAGGGTTAAAAAAAGCCCAACCCTGAAAATTAAGGGCTGGCCAAAAAAATACCCTGTGAAATCAGGGAATCAGGGTAAAATACCCTGATAACGACAGGCCTGGTTACGATCTTCCTCGAGTGTGGTGTTACACTTCAGAAACGCTTAAGTCGAGATATTTCCAACAGCTTGTACCAGCCTTGAGTCGTGGTGAAGCAGCGCGATTCTTTTCCACCTGGTATGCGGCTGACCCGCAGAGCTGCTGCGCCCAGATTGCATCAGACTTGACCAATCAGGATGAGAAGTATAGGATATGATATAGATGTTTACTGCCCATTAGCACTGAACATTAGCAGTAGCAGGTTTCAGAATCAGGAACCGAAGCCTTCTGATCGGTACTCACCATATATGCGCATGGGGATGAGAGAGTTTACCGTGTCTCAAGAGGATGTTCATTGACATACAAGACTTTATCACTGATTTTACAGCAGGCTGTGTTTCTCCCTGAAGAGACTAAAGCACAGGTGGTCAGTGTCTTGCCAGAGTGTCATTCGCCAGCGTAGCATGTTTAAGCCCCCAAAACCCTTAGCTTAGTTGCCTGTTGGTGGATATCATTGCTTTAGGTTAAAGAAATGGCTTCATTCCTGGCATTCCACATGTACAAAGCAGGCGTCAAGCCCCTGTATAATCACAAATCAGGCTGGAGGCCTAGTAGACGATCTGGGGCTCGTTGTCAATGAAGTCGACGGAGCCGGAGTCCACTGGGCGCATGAAGTAGAGCGCCAGCAGTTCACCCACGAACGACGCCAGCACGGGGAACCGCTGCACGCTCTTGAGGGCATCGGGCGCGTCGCTCTTGCCAATGTCGACAAGCTTCTGGTTGAGCTCCACCAGCACGTCCAGGCGGCGCTGAAACTCGGGGTTCTCGACGTCGAGCACGGCGGGGAAGATGCGCGCCGTGGTCTTGTTGGTCTCGATGATCACGTGCATGTTGAACTGCTTCGTGTTCAGGCCCAGACCCTCGTAGAAAGCCGTGCGCTGGTGGTCGTTCAGGTACATCGTCACGTACACCTGTGGTTGAGCAAAGAACAGCACGCTCGTTAGTCCCCAGAAAGAACGGGAAGGGTGAGGTGAAAGCAGAACTGGAAAATCCGTGGAATGCAGGAAAACCTGGCTGTGACTCGCAGCGTGCTTGTGTCAGCATTGATCTTACCGAGAGGCAGAAGAAGCGCGCCCAGAGCTTGGAGGTCCAGTCCTGAAGGAACTTGGGGTAGCACTTGAGCATGGCGGTGAAGAAGTCGCCGTGGCGGTTCTCGTCCTGGCACCAGTTCTCAAACTTCTGGAAGATGGGGTAGCACTGGTACTCGGGGTTCTGCGCCAGGTGGCGCCAGATGGTGATGTAGCGCCAGTAGCCGATCTTCTCCGAGAGGTACGTGGCGTAGAGGATGTACTGCGGCTTGAAGAAGGTGTACTTGCGCGCCTTGGTGAGGAACCCCAGGTCCAGCGACAGGTTGAAGTCGGAGAGGGCCTTGTTCAGGAAACTGCAGAGAGGCGAGAGGATTCAGAATCAAGGTCCTACGGTTAACAAGGGCACGATGGCGAAAGGAAGAGCCGTGCGAGTGTACCTACCCGGCATGCCGAGCCTCATCGCGAGACATGAGGGTGAAGATCTCCGCGATGATGGGGTTGGTCTTCTGCACAAGGCAAGACAACCCACATTAGCAAACCCAGTTCGTGGACCGGCGAAAAATGCTCTATCAGAAAATGCTGGCGAAAGAGGAGTGCCCACCTTGAGGCGGCGGCCGAGCTCCTTGTAGAGGAGGAAGCCGGAGAACTCGGCTGTGCAGGAGCGCTCGAGGAACTCCACAAAGATCTCCCTGGCCGGGCCCTGGATCTTGTCGGCCGCCACCTTGAACTCGGGCGTCCGCACGAAGTGCGTCTGGTTATAGTCCGCCTTGAACTCCTCCAGGCACGCGTCGAACTCCGCCTGGTTCAGGTACGGGTTGATGTCCCTGTTGAACAGCTGCAGTCGCCGAGGGGAAGACGCAGGGAAAGCATTGCAGGGGGTTATTAGCAAATTGGATTCCTGTAAGTCTACGCTCTTATCGACGAGACGTTGTGAGTGAAGCTACGGCGAGAAATTATAGCGTCCTAGAGCATGGCAATTACCCGCTCCATCTCGTCGAAGTCGGTGGTGTAGAAGCGCGGGGTGAGGAGCGTCTCCTTGGACGGCTCCTTGGACCCCTCTCTCGGCTTGTCCTTGGCCACCTCCATCGTCACCCGTCCACCCGCCTTCACGCCGAAGCTGGCTTTGGGGGTGAAGCTCGAGAAGCTCACATTCTTGCGGCTAGACACGCCTGACAGGGACGCCGGCGCGAGGGCGGCCCTTGACAGGGTAGCTGAAGGGCAAGACACGGTAGCCATGGCTGAATCAGGATAACTCCGAATCGGCCGGCTGAGTTTCAGGGGGGGACACCACAATTGATCGCACGATGAGGTGTATCAGCAAGATAAGGGTTGGGCTGGGCGCTTGGTGCTCTAAAGGCAGCGAGGGCTCAACACGGCTGTGATGCGGCTCCGAGGGTCGAGGGAGTGTCGGTTCAGTCACGGCCCTTGGAAGCACAGTCTCCTGCACGAAAAGTGGAGCGTTTGCAACGGTTCGGGAATGAACCTGATGATAGGGCGCTTAATTGGCACAGCGCTATTGGTTGACTGGTTTATAGCAATCTGAACTCCGCGTAAAGTCCACGTGGCCGCATGACAAGGGTGACGTCAACACTAGCTCCCAATACGTTCAGCATGTACAGTCCATGGTGTCTCGTAAAAATGGAACACAGATCTAGACTCTAGTGTAAGGAATTTTCCATTCCTTACCGAGCGGTACTGCTAGCGCGTGCGCTCGAACACAACCGAAGCCTCGGGACTGTTCCGGACCTTTCTGACAGAACCGCCTCGGCTTCTCCAGACCTTCTAGTTCGACCTTTGGGAGTTCTCCGGGCCTTGCTTCGTCACTTCGAGACCCTACAATCTCCTTCTCGAACCTTACCATCGCAGGGTTAGACTAGCTCTGGTGTTCCTATATCTTGGCTTGCCATTCCTTGTATCGTCATTCATTGAGTGAACACTTCGTTATTCATTTCCGCGCTACTCTGCTTGTTCATTCATAACACCTGGTATTCAAAGCCACTTTCCTCGCTCACCCGTGTTCGTGAGTTGATTTTTTTTTAGGGGGGGTCAGTCCCTCACGTAAGCTGCAGGGCGGTTGCTCGCGAATTAGACTGATTAATTCGCCCAACTACGATAGCATTTGCGCTTACCTGAGTACAGGCACATTACGGATTTCCCCCTGCCCCGGCGGAGCATTCGCCAAATGGACCAAGCTCAGTTCAACGAGCTTCGGGAGCAGTTCAACGCCATGAACACACGCATGGCTACAGTGCTGGAGGACAACGAGCGACTTCGTGCGGAAGTTGCTGAGTTACGCCAGGTGCGAGAGGATTCGCGCCAGAAATCTGCCGCCCAAGAAGAGGTCGCCAGCACCGGGCGTGTCGAAACCGTCTTGGACGAAATCGCACATGAGGTGTCACAGGAGCGCAAGGACTGTGAAGCCGCCGCAGCAGCTGGCGTGGCAGCACGAGCAGCAGCAGCCGCTCGGTCAGAAGCAGCCGCTACTATAGCCGCACCAGCGTTTATGCCGATCGTGACGACACCGACGATCAAACCGACAATGCCGCCCCCGCTCAACCCCACAGATAAAAATACTACTATTGCGGGCTGGTTATTTTCGGCGGAACTTTATTTTAATGCCGCTGGGATCACTGCTGACGATTTAAAAAATCGACTGGCTGTATCACTACTGCGGGGACCTGCGCTAGATTGGTGGCGATATACTCTACAGGAGGGGGAGTTTTCGGCAGGCGACCCACAGGGGTTTTTCAGAAACTTTGGGTCTGCTGCCCAAGGGTCAACCGCGATTTTTGGATCGACCAAGATTCGCACGTGGAAGACGTGGGGGTGGGGTACAGCTCTGCGTGAACGTTTCGAGCCAATATCCGCCTCGGACAACGCACGCACGAAGCTGGACAACTGGCGCCAGTGGAGTTCTGTCCAGGATTACGCGTCGGTCTTCATGGCGTTATGCGATCAAATCACCGACATGCATGACTCCGAGAAGAAAGCTCGATTCATTTCAGGTTTGAAGCAGGACATTAAATGCGAGGTCCGGCTGCGACTACCGTTGACGTTTTACGAAGCCGTCCGGATCGCATACAACTTCGACACACATCGGACGTATGCGAGAGCGGGTTCGCGGGAGGGAAATTGTTTTCGTGGCCAGGATCCACGGCCCACAATTCACGGCGTAGTGGCGAAGGAGCACATGGAAGATTTTCGCAAGGGACAATGTTTCAACTGCCACCAGCCAAGTCACCAATCTCATGATTGCCCCCGAAAGAAGCAGATAAAGAAGAACGACGAAGGCAAGTCGGGAAACGCCAAGCGTCAGTAGCGGTCGTGCCCCCTACTGACCCTGCATCATCGCCCGAAAAACATCATCCCCACCTAGTAGTGGTTCCGATACATGCTATCAACCGCTCCCGGCTGAAAAAGGAGGATGACCCAGTGGACCACCCTGTACAGGCGGAAGGACGACTTCATGGAAGAAAAATAAAAATATTCATCGACAAAGGTGCGAGTCATAGCTTGATAAATCGACAGACAGCACGACGACTACACCTGACGCTGGAGCGGTGTCCACCCGAAATCGACGCGCGATTGGTGGACGGCACCCCCCAGGCGATACGCGACAAGGTACCTGTCGTTCGAATGAAGTGTGGCGAAGATTTTGGTTTCAGCGCGTCGATGTTGGCGACAACGCTCGACGGCTACGACGTGCTATTGGGACGCGATTGGCTGCGACGATTCAACCCGCAGATCGACTGGACAACAAGCGAGTGCACCGTGAAGTGCGACAAAGGCTGGCGAACACTACCCACGTGACCGGAAGAAGAGACAACATCGACACGGGTCAACGCGGTGTGCCTCAACCCAGCAGTCAAGAATGGAGCGGATTTATACGCCGTCCATCTAACCGAATCGACTGAGCAGAACAAGGCAACCGACATCAACAAACTCTGCGCTTCGGTCCCGGATGACTTGGCGAAAAACATTCGGGAATATCCTGAGATTTTCCCGAACGACTTGCCAAGAGGATTGCCACCCAAACGACCCCAGGACCACAAAATCGAGCTGGAGCCCGACGCGCAACCTACTGTACGCACGCAATGGCGTCTGACTCAGCCGGAGCTACAGGAGTTACGGAACCAGCTGGACAACCTGCTGGCGAAAGGGTTCATTCGGCCCAGCACGTCACCGTTCGCAGAACCGATCCTGTTCACACCAAAAAAGGACGGCGGACTTCGCATGTGTACGGACTATCGTGCCCTTAATCGGGTAACGATAAAATCGCGCTACCCAATCCCACGAACGGACGAACTCATCGACAACCTTCGCGGAGCTCGCTAATTTTGAAGATCGACCTTCGTGGCGGTTACCATCAAATTCGGGTGTTCGCTGACGGCTGCCACAAGACCGCGTTTCGTACTCGCTATGGGAGTTACAAATACACGGTGATGCCGTTTGGATTGACGAACGCCCCCTCGACGTTCCAACTCACCATGAATGGGGTGTTCCGCGATCTACTCGACAAATGCGTAATAATTTACCTGGACGACATCCTGATCTACAGCAAGACCCGGGAGCAGCATTTAGAGATTTGGAAGTGGTTTTTCAGCGGTTGCAGCAGCATTGTCGCATCACCAAGGGCTCCAAGTGCGAGTTTTTAAAACAAAAACTGGAGTTCTTGGGGCACGTGATCTCCACGGAGGGGATTCGCATAGACCCGAAAAAACTCCGGGCTATTCAAGAATGGAAACCACCAACAAATCTGTAGCAGCTGCAATCATTTTTGGGTTTCGTGAATTACGTGCGGCGGTTTATACCCAACATGGCGAGGTTAACTGGACCTCTCACCGACCTACTGCAAAAGGGGAATTGTTACGAGTGGGGGGAGAAGCAGCAAGCTGCGTTCGGGGCATTAAAAAATCTTTTAATGTCGCCACCGGTACTTCGCATCGCTGACCCTGAACGACCCTTCGAAGTCATCATCGACGCAAGTGACATCGCAATTGGAGCAGTGCTCATGCAGGGTTTCGGCTACGGGCTTCAACCAATTGCGTACGAGTCTCGAAAAATGCAATCTGCTGGGCGCAACTACTCGGTACATGACAAGGAGATGCTGGCGATCGTCCACGCGTTCAAAATCTGGAGGTGCTACCTGACTGGAGCAGACGTAACGGTGCGAACCGATTACAAATCACTACAGTACCTGAGGGCGCAGCCGAATCTCAACCCGCGGCCGATACGCTGGCTGGACTATCTGGAGTCCAATTTCACGTACAAGATCACGTACAAAAAAGGCGCCAACAATATTGCCGACGCCCTTTCCAGACCATCTGCCCAACTCGCAGCAGTACTAGTCGCCCAGAGCAATCCGCTACTGAGTGGACTATTTACTCACGGGTGTTCGACTGACCCCTTCTTCGTAAATGACGGCCATCTCCCAATCACTACACGAAAAGGCGTCTATTATTTACGAAGCGGGACTGATCCAATTTGGGTCCCAAGTTATCGTCTACTTCGCGAATTACTAATTCAAGAAGTCCACGATTCGAATTTATCGAGACATTTCGGGGTTGATAAAACTTTGAAGGCGTTCCAGCGGTTTTATTACTGGCCAGATATGGTGACGGACGTGCAGCGTTACGTGGCCGCGTGTCCGATCTGCCAGCGAATGAAGTCATCACACCAGCGACCAACAGGACTGTTGCAACACGTAACAATGGATTTCTTTACAGGACTACCGGCCGGACCCAGCGGAAATGACGCAGTTTTGGTTGTCGTCGACCGATTGACGAAAATGGCGCATTTCGCACCATGTCGTACAACCATCACAGCCTAAGAAAAAGCGCGCCTGCTCATCTCGACCGTCGTTCGCCTACACGGCGCCGTCTGCCCAAGAAGCGTCTGTGTGTCCAGTAAGGACCACTGGCCTACATCCTCCTAGCACTAACCCCATGCCCGATGTACTTGCAAGATAACGCAAAACCCTCTTTGCGGCAGACCAATGCTGAGGTCGGTGTCTGCCTGTAGCCACAAAGCGAGCAAGGATGCTGAGAGGGTATGCGAGATCTGGGCGAGTGCAAGTCATCAGGTACATGAGGCAACCCACCAGCTCTGCGTAAGGACCACTGGGCTATGCTGACTCCTCAGGAACTGGAGCGGAGAGCCTGTGGTCTAGAGGCAGAGGAGTAGGCTGTGCAGAGGAGAACTGAAGGCCGAACCTTTGAAGGACCTGGCACACCAAGTGTGACTGAGTCAAAGTGATCGTGCGTGCTGCTCTGTCCCTGGAGATCTGCAAGCCAAGGTAGTGGCGCAGTTCTCCAAGGTCAGTGCAGGTGTGTCTCTTCAGCAGCTCTGCCTTCACGGAGGCCAGTGCGTCCCTGTCTGCCGTGGCGAAGACCAGGTCGTCTACATAAACAAGGATGTAGAACGGAGTCTGGCCAGCTCGAACGAAGAGCGAGAGGTCTGCAAAGGACGGAAAGAACTGCAGGTCAGCAAGCGTAGCACGCAGCATTTCGTGCCACTCACGGGGAGCCTGCCGCAGGCCGTAGACGGGGCGCCGTAGGAGCCACTGGGTCCCAGGAGGGAAGGTACCAGTGAAGCCCTTAGGGCGGCGCAGGTAGACCTGCTCGTGCAGACTGCCCTGAAGAAACGCAGTAGAGAAGTCGAGGGAGTGAAGCTCGTAGTCACGCTGCGCTGCTACGTGTAGTAGTACCCGAAGAGTAGTCATCTTCGGGGTCGGAGCAAAGGTCTGGAAGAAGTCCACCCCCTCACGCTGACTGAAACCTCTAGCCACGTAGCGCGCCTTGAACACATGCGGCTCTCCAGGAGGGCGCTTCACCTTGAAGAGCCAGCGGCCATCAACTACGTTCACCCCAGGTGGGGGAACTGCGTCGACATAGGTGCCGGTGGATCTCCAAGATGCCATCTCCTGCTCCATGGCAGCTATCCACTGAGAGGCCCAGGGTCCCGAGACCGCCTCAACGTAAGTGCGAGGGGTCGGGATGTCGAAAGCGTCGGGGTCACCCTCAGGGACTAGAAGTATGGAACAGAGATGGGGAGCAGCCTCGGACAGGAAAGCAAGCTCGTACTGGCGGTCCTCCAGGACGTTACTGCCAAGGGCAGGAGCACCCCCGACAGACGGAGGACAGGCATGGTCAGAGACCAAAGCGGTGGCGTAGTCAAGGCGGCGGGTAGAGGCGAAGTCAGCGACCGTAGCGACAAGGGCGTCAAGGCTCGAAACCGGAACAGACGGGTCGGTAACGAGAGAGGCAAGGACCCGAGGAACAAGAGGACGAGCGGCACGCATGTAGTTAGACAGAGGGGGGGGAGCAACGACAAGGGAGGACGGAGGGGGCGACGGGAGAAGGGGAGGACGGGACGCGTGGGAACGAAGCAACATAGGGTGAGAGCGCGAGGCAGGGGAGACAGGTCGAGCATGGGAGGGACGGCGAGACTAGACGTGAGATGGGGGAGTCGGGTCAGGAGACAGAGGAGGGGACACAGGAGGAGAACGAGGGGGGAAACGGGCCAGAGACGCGTCCGGAGGAGGGAACACAGGGCCGGAGACAGGAGGACGAGGAGGCACGGGCACGGGGTCAGGGAACGGAAGGCCGAGCAGGCGAAGAGCGGACACCGGCGGGGACTGCTATGATGGCGGTGTGACGCCGACACCGGGACCGCAAGCTGCCGGGCGGCTACCTCCAGAACACTCCACACCAGCACCCCCAGAAGAAACACCCCCAGAGCTCAGAACCCCTCGAGCACCGGTACCACCCCCAGGCCTGCCGGGACAAGCCACGACAGGAGTCCCGGGACTAGTACCCACCCCAACTCCAGCACCCCCAGAGGCAACCAACTGCTCCGGCGACGGCTGCGGCGACGGCGGCGGCGGTGACGACGGCTGCGACAGCGGTGGCGACTGCAGCTGCGGAGGAGGCGGAGAAGGGGACACATGAGAAGGCGGCGAGGACTGCGCCGCAGGACTACCAGAGTCAGTAGACCCCTGAACCGGTACAACCGACGTAAGTGGGGTGACGTGGGACACACTAGAGGGGGCAGGACGGGGAGGGGGAGGAGGAGGGGCGGCGACGACCGGGGAAGGGGTGACCAGGAACAGGGGGGGGGTAACCGAGGGACCTTGGTGGGGGAAGCGGCGGAAGAAAGCGACGGACTCGTCAAAGGTGACGTCACGGGAGTGAAAGAAACCGTGAGACGGCGGGTGGTAGAAGTGCCAGTTAGACGCGTCAAGGGGGAAGCCGAGGAAGACACAAGGAAGGGTGCGGGCAGTGAGCTTGTCCGTGCCAGAGGCACGAACGTGAGCAAGAAAGCCCCAGACTTGGAACGCAGACGCGTCACCAGGTGACCCAGACCAAAGGAGGGTCGGCGAAACCTGAGGCTGCTGGGGGTACGGCCACAGGTTAAGCTGGTGAGCGGCGTAGCGAACGGCGAACGGCCACAGAAAATGGGGTGCACCGGCATGGATCGTGGAGGTGCGTGCCACCTCCATGACCAAACCGATGCGTCGCTCAGTGACCCCATTCTACTACGGGGAGTCCAGCAAGGTGAACGACTGGGTGATGCCCTCCGCACGGCAGAAACGACCAAGGACACCAGAGGCAAACTCGCCACCACGGTCGGAGTGTAGGCGCAAGACAGGGAGACAGCGACAGACATGCGCGGCGACAAGCCACGGGATAAGAACGTCAGGCACGTCGGCCTTCCGCTCCAGGGGGAACACAGTGGTGTAGCGCGTGTAGTCGTTGACAAGCACTAGGATGTAGCGCTCTCGACGCGGCCCATGGACGGGGGCGGGGCCCCAGACGTCCATGTGCAGAGTCTGTAGCAGTGCGGTAGTAGGAGGAAACGAGGAGGAGTGAGGAGCACGGCGAAGTCGGCCCTCGATACAAGGCGTGCAAGGTGGGGCAGGGGAGGAGGGAAACTCAGAGAACGACCCAGGGAGGCCTAGGATGAGACCGTGCTGTGACATGTGACGCAAACGCGGGAGCGCAGGGTGACCTAGACGGTGGTGCCACAGGAGAGTCGGGTGGGTGAGTGACCGACAGGAGCAGGCAGCAGCAACCTGGGTAGACGCAGCCACCTGAGGGCGGGTCCCAGCCGGGGGGGTCACAGTGTCCAGTGTGAACAGTCCGGACACCGGGTCACGGGGGAATGTGGTAAGGGGGGCACCAGTGGCGGCCTCGGTACAGACAACGTACCGCTCATGACGAGGGAACGTAGTGGTGACGTCAAGGTCCTGGAGGTAGCCGACACCAACTAGGTTCCTGGAGAACGAGGGGATGTGCAGGCCTGTGAGAGAGCCCGAAGGAACCGCCGGGCAGGGGAGGGTGGTGGAACTGCGGGCGACTACAGGGCCAGAGGAGGGGTCAGCCAGGGAGACGGCGGCAGGGACAGGAAGTGGTGTCAACGTGGTGGAGTCGCGGAAGAAGCACCGAGAAGCGCCAGAGTCGAGGGTGAAGGAGAGCGCGGCAATGGCGGCCGGAGGCGAAGTAGCGACGGAAGCACCAAGGCTAAACAAAGCAGGGGATCCTACGCGTGACGCAGCAGGGGAGTCTAAGGAAGGCACACCTACACTAGGCAACAAGGGATAATAAGACAGAAGCACAGTAGAGTCATCAGCATACATCACATGCAGAGCAGCAACAATCTCATCGATGTCCAGATCAAAAATCTGAACCCTACGACTAAGCAAGCTGTGCCAGTCAGGGAGCTCGGGCGACGGGCCGAAACGCTGACGAAACAGGTCGTCCAGGCGACGGAAACAGCGGACGGAGGTATGACCGATCTTACCGCAAACGAAGCCATGGCAAGGACCGGTCTGAAGCAGGTACTGACAGCGCGTGGCACCCAAACCACCACTCGGCAGCCCACCACGCGCACCACCACTACGTCCAGCGCTGCCACCAGCGTCGGGCCACCCAGGCGGAAGACGACTCGTCCGCCTCTGCTGCTGCTGCGACTGCTGCGGCTGCGGCGACGGCTGCAGCTGCGGCGGCTGCGGCTGCTGCGGCTGGCGCGGGTTCGACGGCAACACCGGCGACTGCTGAGACGGCTGCTCGGCTGCACCTGTCAGGGTCCCCGCGTCAGCACCACCACTAGGTAACCCAACTCCAGCACCACCTACACCCGCACCCCCACCCCCGTCGCCACGTCCAGCCTTGGGGTGGCGACCCTTCCCCAGACGAACCTGTGCGGCAGCGGCAGTCTCAGCCACAGCAGAAGAACCGTCGGAGAAGGTGCACTGAGCGGGGGCACAACCCTGAAAGATAGGGATCGGCACAGTACCGCTGGTCTGAGCGATAGAGCGGTGGCGGGCCTCTATAGTGGACAGGGTGTCAACAAAGTCAGTGAGGGTAAGGTCTGCTGGGTGGACGCTAAGAAAGCGGTCACGGGCAGTGGCAAGACGGTCAGGGAGGCGGGTGGCTAGCAGGTAGAGAGTAGAGGTGAGGGGCGGCTGGTAGGCTAGAAGCTGTGTGGGGGTGCAGACAGCAAGCCAGGTCTCGTCTATGGTGCGCAGGTGAGCGGCCAGGTCGGCGACAGTGGGGAATGACGCAAGGTCAGGAAAGAGCATGGGGAGGATCAGACGACCGACCGAGGCAGCAGGCGGGGTGGAATAGCGCTGGACAACAACATCTAGGAAAGCCTGGGCAGTGGTGATAGACCTGAAGCGAGGTAGCTCGGACAGGGGGAGGACATTGCTAATAGCAAGCTGTGCAACAGCGTCACGGGACAGCTAGACAGAGCGAGCAAGGGCAGCGGCTGCAGCGGACTCACGCTCAGCGGACGAGGGGTCAGATTTGACATTTACGACTGCCACTACCGACAAAATTACGATCACGTTTCTATGGCCCGTTCAAGATCATGAAGATGGTGACGCCGGTGACTGCCCAGTTGCGCCTACCTGATGACTGGCGTATTCACAACAAGTTCCACGTGAGCCTGTTGCGACCCTTCGTTCCTGACTCGTCGGACATCGCCCGACAGCGATTGGTCCCCGACGTACGGCCACCAGCCGAGATGACCATCGAGCCTTCGAAAATCTTGAACCATCGGATTCGTATCGACGGTCAAGGACGACACGTTGACTTTCTGATACGATGGACCAATCGTACCAGTGAGGACGACACGTGGGTGCCCTCAGACCAGATACAGTCACCTTCGATACTTGCCAATTATTTGGACCGCAAGCACGTGACTGATATAGATCACCTTCGCTAAGGGAGGGGGGTGGTGTAAGGAATTTTCCATTCCTTACCAAGCGGTACTGCTAGCGCGTACCCTCGAACACACCCGAAGCCTCGGGACTGTTTCGGACCTTTATGACAGAACCGCCTCGGCTTCTCCAGACCTTCTAGTTCGACCTTCGGGAGTTCTCCGGGCCTCTCTTCGTCACTTCGAGACCCTTCGATCTCCTTCCCAAACCTTACCATCGCAGGGTTAGACTAGCTCTGGTGTATCAAACATGTGTATCTCCTATGTTTGCATAGACTGTATAGGGCCACCTCTTAGAGGGTACAACACTTAGGTTTATTCACCTGTACACTCTCTCTACTCATTATTCAGTTCTCACTTTGATATGGTATCACGCGTAGGTTAGGATCCCCCACCTACCGCTTCCGCCCGTACCCGAGCTAGGCCCCGCCACTTCCCCCTGGGCCCCGTCGCGCCTCCTAGCCCCGTCGCGCCCCTCCTGGGCCCTGCCGTGCCTCCTGGCCCCGTCGCGCCCCCCTAGCCCCGTCGCGCCCCTCCTGGGCCCCGTCGCGCCCCCCTGGCCCTGTCGCGACCCCCTAGCCCCGCCGCGCCCCTCCTGGGCCCCGTCGCGCCCCCTAGCCCAGTCGCGCCCCTCCTGGGCCCCGTCGCGCCTCCCTGGCCCCGTCGCGACCCCCTAGCCCAGTCGCGCCCCTTCTGGGCCCCGTCGCGCCCCTCCTGGGCCCCGTCACGCCATTTAGCCGCGTCGCGCCCTGCCTGGCCCCGTCGCGCCCGCTCGGCCCCGTCGCGCCCTGCCTGGGCCCCATCGCGCCTGCCTGGCCCCGTCGCGCCCTGCCTAGCCCCGTCGCGCCCTGCCTGGCCCTGTCGCGTCTGCCTGGCCCCTCCGCGCCTGCCTGGCCCCGCCGTGCCTGCCTGGCCCCATCGCGCCCTGCCCAGCCCCGTCACGCCCTGCCTGCCCCGTCGCGCCTGCCTGGCCCCGCCGCGCCTGCCTGGCCCCACCGCGCCTGCCTGGCCCCGCCGCTCCTGCCTTGCGCCCGTCCAAGCCGGCCCCGCGCCCGCCCTTGCGACCTCCGCGCCCGTCTGTTCGGCCCCTGCGCCCGTCCCAGCCGGCCCCGCGCCCGTCCCGTCGACCTGGTGCCCGCTGCTTCTGGCCCCCGCGCCCGTCCTGGCCCGAGCTGTGTGCGGCCCGCTCGTCGTCCCTGCCCCGGCCCTGCATCCTCCCTGGTACGGTTCCCCATCCCTGCACCGCATTGCACCGCCCTGCACCGCAATGCACCGCACTACACTGCACTGCACCACCTTGCACCGTACTGCACCGCCCTGCACCGCACTGCACCGCACTGTACAGTCCTGCACTGCTCCTGATGGCGGCGGAGCTTCGCTTCGACGCTGAAGGCCAGCCTCTGGAGTTCGAGGCGTGGCTCGCCGACCTCCGTCGCCACCTCACTGGCCATCGGCAGGATGGCCACCCGCTTTCCGCACACCTTGACGGTACGCTCCCCTGCCCAGACCCCCCTGCTGTTCTGCCCGCAGACCCCACCCCGCTGAGCGCGAGTCTACTGCAGCCACTGCCCTTGCGCGCTCTGTCTGGCTTTCCCGAGACGCTGTCGCTCAGCTTGCCATTAGCAATGCCCTTCCCCCGTCCGAGCACCCTCGCTTTAGGTCCATCATTACCGCCCATGGTTACTTAGATGCTGTCATCAAGCGCTATTCCACCCCTCCTGCTGCCTCGGTGGGTCGCCTGATCCTCCCGATGCTCTTTCCCGACCTTGCGTCTTTCCCCACTGTCTCTGACCTAGCTGCCCACCTGCGCTCGATAGATGAGACCTGGCGCGCTGCCTGCACTGACGCACAGCTTAGAGCCCACCAGCCGCCCATTACCTCTACCCTCTACCTCCTTGCCACCCGCCTCCCTGACCGCCTTGCCGCCGCCCGCGACCGCTTCCTTAGCATTCACCCCGGTGAGCTCACCCTCACCTACTTTGTAGACACCCTGACTGTTATTGAGACCCGCCACCGCTCCATCGCCCAGGCGAGCGGTACCGTGCCGGTCCCTATCTTTCAGGGTTGTGCCCCTGCTCAGTGTACCTTCTCCGACGGTTCTCTCGCTGTGGCTGAGACTGGTGCTGCAGCGAAGTTTCGTTCGGGGAAGGGCCGCCGCCCCAAGGCTGGGCGCAGCGGAGGAGGCGGGGGTGCAGGAGGGGGTGGTGGTGGAGTCGAGTCGTCTGGTGCTGGAGCGGACGAGGGGACCCTGCCCAGTCCAGCTGAGCCGCCGCCTCCGCAGTCGCCGCAGCAGCTGCAGCAGTCGCAGTAGGTGCAGCCTCCGCAGCAGCCGCAGCAGCCGCCGCAGACGAGGCAGGCGAGTGTCCTCCCGCCCGGGTGGCCTGGCGCTGGAGGTGGTCAGGTGCGTGGTGGTGTGCCGAGTGGTGGTTCGGGAGGCGTGCGTTGTCTGTACCAGATCCAGACCGGTCCTCACCGCGGCTTCGTTTGCGGTAAGCTCGGTCATACCACTCCCCGCTGTTTTCGTCGCCTGGACGACCTGTTTCGTCAGCGCTTCGGCCCGTCGCCAGACCTTCCGGACTGGCACACTTTTCTTAGTCGTAGGATTCATATTTTTTACATGGACATGGATGCCATTGTTTCTGCTCTGCATGTAATGTATGCTGATGACTCTAGTGCGCTTCCCGCTTATTACTCACTGTCGTCTAGTGTAGGTGTGCCTAGCTTAGCCTCCCTTGCTGCATCAGGCATAGGATCCCCTGCTTTGTTTAGCCTTGGTGCCTCCGCCGTCGCCCCGTCGCCGAACGCCACTGCTTCGCTTTCCTTCACCTTGGACTCTGGCGCTTCCCGGTGCTTCTTCCACGACTCTACTACACTGACGCCGCTTCCTGTTCCTGCTGCCGTTTCTCGTGCTGACCCCTCCAGCAGTCCGGTAGTCGCCCGCAGTTCCACCACCCTTCCCTGTCCGGCGGTTCCTTCGGGCTCTCTTACAGGTCTGCATATCCCCTCGTTCTCCAGGAACCTAGTTGGTGTCGGCTGCCTCCAGGACCTTGGCGTCACCACTACGTTCCCTGGTCACGAGCGGTATGCTGTCTATATCGAGGCCGCCACTGGTGCCCCCCTGTCCACGTTCCCCCGGGACCAGGTGTCCGGCCTGTTCACTCTGGACACCGTGGCCCCCCCGGCTGGGGCGCCCCCTCAGGTGGCTGCGTCTACCCAGGTTGCTGCTGCCTGGTCCTGTCTGTCCCTCACTCACCCGACTCTCCTTTGGCACCACCGCCTAGGTCACCCTGCGCTCCCCAGTCTGCATCACATGTCCCAGCACGGTCTCGTCCTTGGTCTCCCAGGTTCTCTCCCCGCTATTCCCTTCTCCCCAGCCCCACCTTGTACGCCTTGCGTCGAGGGTCGGCTTCGCCGTGCCCCTCACTCCTCCTCGTTTCCCCCTACCCGCCGCGCCGCTGCAGACCCTGCACATGGACGTCTGGGGCCCCGCCGCCGTCCATGGGCCGCGTCGAGAGCGCTACTTCCTAATGCTTGTCGACGACTTCACTCGCTACACCTCGGTCTTTCCCCTGGAGCGGAAGGCCGACGTGCATGCCGCTCTCATCCCCTGGCTTGTCTCTGCCCGTGTCCACCGAGGTCTCCCTCTCTTGCGCCTTCACTCCGACCGTTGTGGCGAGTTTGCCTCAGGTGTCCTTGGTCGCTTTTGTCGTGCGGAGGGCATCACCCAGACGTTCACCCTACCGGACTCCCCACAGCAGAATGGGGTCGCTGAGCGACGCATCGGTTTGGTCATGGAGGTGGCTCGCACCTCCATGATCCATGCCGGTGCACCCCATTTTCTGTGGCCGTTCGCTGTGCGCTACGCTTCTCACCAGCTTAACTTGTGGCCGCACCCCCAGCAGCCGCAGGTTTCGCCGACCCGTCTTTGGACTGGGTCTCCTGGTGACGCGTCTGCGTTCTGCGTCTGGGGCTGCCTTGCTCACGTCCGTGCCCCTGGCACGGACAAGCTCACTGCCCGCACCCTTCCCTGCGTCTTCCTCGGTTTTCCCCTTGACGCGTCCGACTGGCACTTCTACCACCCGCCGTCTCACCGCTTCTTTCACTCTCGCGACGTCACCTTTGACGAGTCCATCTCTTACCACCGTCAATTCCCCCACCGCGGTCCCCCGGTTACCCCCCCCTTGTTCTTGGTCACTCCTTCCCCGGTAGTCCCTGCCCCTCCCCCTCCTCCTCCCCGTCCTGCCCCCTCTGGTGTGTCCCACGTCACCCCTCTTCCGTCGGTGGTCCCGGTTGAGGAGTCTTCTGACTCTGGTGGTCCTGCGGGGCAGTCCTCGCCGGCTACCCCTCCCCAAGCGTCCCCTCTTCCGCCTCTGCCGCCGCTGTCGCCCCTCCTGTCGCAGCCGTTGTCACCTCCGCCCCCGCCGCCGCCGTCGTTGTCGCTGCCGCCGCCGCCGCCGTCGCAGCACTCGTTCGTTGACTCTGGGGGTGCTGGCGTTGGAGTGCGTGCTAGTCCCGGTACCCCTGGGGGTGGTACCGGTCCTCGAGGGGTTTCGGGCCCTGGAGGTGTTCCCTCTGGGGGTGCTGGCGTGGAGTGTGCCGGTGGTAGCCGAGGAGCAGCTTGCGGTCCCGGTGTCGGTGGTGTGCCGCCGCAGCTGCAGTCCCCGCCGGTGTCAGCCCTTCGCCTGCTCGGCCTTCCGTCCCCTGACCCTGCGTTTGTTCCTCTCCGCCCGTCTCCTCCTCTTCCCGTGTTCGGCCCTGTGTTCCCTCCGCCGGACTCGTCCCTGGCTCGTCTTCCTCCCCGTTCCCCCCCTGTGTCCCCTCCCCTGTCTCCTGACCCGACTCCTCCGTCTCACGTCTGGTCTCACCGTCCCTTCCGTGCTCGTCCTGCCTCCCCTGTCCCGCGCTCCCACCCTATGTTGCTTCGTTCCCACGCGTCTCGTCCTCCCCTTCTCCCGTCGCCTCCTCCGTCCTCCCTTGTTGTTGCACCCCCCCCTCTGTCTGACTACCTTCGCGCCGCTCGTCCTCTTGTTCCTCGGGTCCTTGCCTCTCTCGTTACCGACCCGTCTGTTCCGGTCTCGTGCCTTAACGCTCTGGTAGCTGCGGTCGCTGACTTCGCCTCTACCCTCCGCCTTGACTACGCCTCCGCTCTGGTCTCTGACCCTGCCTGTCCTCCGTCTGTCGGGGGTGCTTCTGCCCTCGGCAGTGACGTCCTGGAGGACCGCCAGTTCGAGCTTGCTTTCCTCTCCGAGGCTGCTCCCCATCTCTGTTCCATGCTGCTAGTCCCTGAGGGTGACCCAGACGCTTTCGACATCCCGACCCCTCGCACTTACGCTGAGGCGACCTCGGTACCTTGGGCCTCTCAGTGGATAGCTGCCATGGAGCAGGAGATGGCATCTTGGAGATCCACCGGCACCTTCGTCGACGCAGTTCCCCCGCCTGGGGTGAACGTAGTCGATGGCCGCTGGCTCTTCAAGGTGAAGCGCCCTCCTGGAGAGCCGCCTGTGTTCAAGGCGCGCTACGTGGCTAGAGGCTTCAGTCAGCGTGAGGGGGTGGATTTCTTCCAGACCTTCGCTCCGACCCCGAAGATGACTACTCTTCGGGTTCTGTTACACCTAGCTGCTCAGCTTGACTACGAGCTTCACTCCCTCGACTTCTCCTCTGCCTTCCTTCAGGGCAGCCTTCACGAGCAGGTCTACTTGCGTCGCCCTCAGGGCTTTACTGGCACCTTCCCTCCTGGGACCCAGTGGCTCCTGCGGCGCCCCGTCTACGGCATTCGCCAGGCTCCCCGTGAGTGGCACGACACGCTGCGTACTACCCTTGCTGACCTGCAGTTCTTTCCGTCTTCCGCAGACCCCTCACTCTTCGTTCGTGCTGGCCAGACTCCGTTCTACATCCTTGTTTACGTCGACGACCTGGTCTTTGCCACAGCAGACAGGGACGCACTGGCCTCCGTGAAGGCAGAGCTGCTGAAGAGACACACGTGCATTGACCTTGGAGAGCTGCGCCGTTACCTTGGCTTGCAGATCTCCAGGGACAGAGCAGCGCGCACCATCACTTTGACTCAGTCACACTTGGTGCGCCAAGTCCTTCAAAGGTTCGGCCTTTAGTTCTCCTCTGCACAGCCCACCCCTCTGCCTGTAGACCACAGACTCTCTGCTCCAGTTTCTGAGGAGTCGGTAGAGCCCAGCGGCCCCTACGCAGAGCTGGTGGGTTGCCTCATGTACCTGATGACTTGTACTCGCCCAGATCTCGCATACCCTCTCAGCATCCTGGCTCGCTTTGTGGCCACAGGCAGACACCGACCGTAGCACTGGTCTGCCACTAAGAGGGTTTTGCGTTATCTTGCAAGTACATCAGGCATGGGGTTAGTGCTAGGAGGACGTGGGCCAGTGGTCCTTACTGGACACACAGACGCTTCTTGGGCAGACGACGCCGAGACACTCAGGTCTACCCAGGGCTACTGCTTCAGCCTTGGTTCAGGTGCCGTCTCGTGGAGAGCTACCCGCTCCTCGTCTGTTGCCCAGTCCAGCTGTGAGGCGGAGATCTACGCTGGTGCCATGGCGGCACAGGAGCTCCGCTGGCTGACCTTCTTGCTCACTGACTTCGGTGAGCGGCCTAGCTCTGCCCCGGTCCTGTTCGCTGACAACAGGGCCATGATCCTCCTGTGTCAGGAGCCTCGACTCGAGGGCAGAGCGAAGCATATTCAGCTGCGGTACTTCCTCCTGCGCGAGCTACAGCAGCGACGCCAGGCTCGCGTAGTACACTTGGCCTCAGGTGCCAACACAGCTGATATCTTTACGAAGGCGCTTGCGCCTAAAGATCATCAGCGGCACTGTGTACAGATTGGTCTAGTTCCTGTAGCCTCTCACTTGCTAGGGCCTTGACTTTGTACTGTCCTTTATATGTGTACTCAGACTGAACTTGTGTCCTCTTCCAGTGGCTGGACTAGTAGTGCCGCCCTGGTCTTGTTCTTGCCTTGTGTGTACTCCTTCTGACTGGTCTTTTAGACCCTTGTCTCAGAGGCTGGACTAGTAGTGCCGCCCTGAGCTGCTTGTTTAGGACCTGCCCCTATGCAGACTAGGGGGTGTGTCAAACATGTGTATCTCCTATGTTTGCATAGACTGTATAGGGCCACCTCTTAGAGGGTACAACACTTAGGTATATTCACCTGTACTCTCTCTCTACTCATTATTCAGTTCTCACTTTGATATGGTGTTCCTATATCTTGGCTTGCCATTCCTTGTATCGTCATTCATTGAGTGAACACTTCGTTATTCATTTCCGCGCTACTCTGCTTGTTCATTCATAACATCTAGGGTCTTACGTTACGGTACAATGGAGAGCAGAAGTCCAACATAATGGCTAAAATAAATTAGATTGATAACCAATCATAAATTATTTTATATATTTCATGAGGACTAAACTTCCTAACAGCAATATTAGCAGATTGGTTATTCGACCTATTAGGTATTGTCTCACCACACCATACTCACACTACATCAAGATTAGCAAGGTGTGCGCAGTACTCATTTTGTCTAATGCTTATTGAAAATGTGATGGCATTGTGGGGCACGCTGAGAGGAGAACCTGTGTGGAAGGGGAAAAAAATGGGAGTGGGTGAGGGGGGAGAAGGAGGAGGGGAGTAGGGTAAATGTGTTTAGGGTCTAAGTTTCATCACAAGCCCTTTGAGCCTGCTCATTTCAACGTTTTTTTTGTGAAAAAAAGGTGTGAATTCAGGTTCCATCCCAACTCATCCTACACCATGTTGTCTTTGTATTTTGCATTCAGTGAAGTGTAGCTATTACTAGAAAGAGGCCAAATGGCACGCCTAGAGATTATAGCCTCAACAGCAGCCATGATCAGACTGATTCCGAGCTCTGCAGAGCAGCACAGGAGGACTTCTCTGGCCTTTTCCGATGGCCTATGCAGATGAAGCGACAGACATTCGCGATTCACGCGATGGCTTCACCATGATTGCGCACTCTAACTAACCCAGCTCCTAGGAAGCCTGGCACAATGCTGGAAAGTCTCGTATTCTCCCTGGTCGGAGGCTACCTCTCGCATTACCTCAAGAACTTCCACAAGGAACAGCTCCGAATCGGCGTATGGCGACGTAAGCTCGCGAAGCTGAACTGTTGCTTATGATGCGCTTAGACCGTAACTGATATCCCTTTCTGTCCTATTCCGATTTGCAGCGTAGCTTGATTCTACGAACATCCCTCATTGGGAAGTTCCAGGGTTCTCTTCGAATCTAGTCCAGTAGTCTGCCTTTAGAACCAACCCAGTCGTCTGGCTTCAGAGTCAATCCGTTCGTCTGACAATCACTCCACCTGTTTGGCTTCAGAATGATTCCACTTTTCTGATTTTCAGGATCAGACTAGCTGTCCAACTTCAGGATCAGTCTAGTTGGCCGATTGCAGGACCAGTCTAGCAGTCTGTCTTCAGGATGAGTCTAGTTGTCTGAATTCAGGAACAGTCTAGCTGTCTGAATTCAGAATCAGTCTAGTTGTCCGATTTCAGGACCAGTCTAGTTGCCCGACCCCAGAATCAGTCTAGTTGTCTGAATTCAGAATCAGTTCAGCCGTCTGGCTTCAGAATTAGTTTTGTCACATGTCATCTGTTGTTCGGCTTGTTGACATGCCTAGTTGTCTTCTTTTGGCCGTTGATCCGATTAATGTGTCTGCGTGAGCAGGCGTGGTGCGTCTGAACGACCTGGAGATCAACACGGCAGCATTCGACCATCTTCAGCTCCCATTCTCCATCCACCATGGTACAGCCGCCGTGACATGGCTTCCACCTGAAGAACATGTCACGTCATGGCTCTGCAGGATATTTTTTCATCGATGTTCCTTCGGTTTATGAAATGAATGAAACTGGGACACTATGACGTGTGTTTCAGTAACTGGTTGATGCAAGCGGCTGGTCCACTTGTGCATCAGTGGCCTGTGCAGTGTCCTGCTGAGCCGTTGTTCTGCCTGTGTGCTGGCAGGGAGGGTCGGCAGTCTGAGTCTGCAGCTGTCCATGAAGAGGCTGGGCCGGGAGCCGTGTGTGTCTGTGACTATCAGCGACGTGCTTGTAGTCATGGCGCCAAGAGCTGATCATGAGGTACGTCCCTCGCCACCGGGTCTTATTGTTGGATAATTTACTTTCATCTTTCCTCAGGTGATTGTCCTTTTCATTATGAATTTCTTCCACTGCTGTGTCATCATCACCCTGATGTCTCCCCTGCAGTCACCTTCTGTTTTTTGTTATTTCCGTGCAGTGGTCGGAGGGCCCAGCCGTGGTAAGAGAGAGAGCGGCCAAGAGGGCAGCCCTGGCTGCAGCTGAGGTGGTCAAGATGTCAGAGCAGGGTGAGGTGTCAGAGCTAGTAGAGCAGGGTAAGGTGATGTGGGTGCAAGTGAGAGCAGGGTGAGGTGATGTGAGTGTAAGTGAGAGCAGGATGAGGTGATGGCACATGTGAGATGATGTAAGGGTCAGGTGAGTTGTGACGGCAAGGTGAGCTTAGGTTTCTCCCTCCTCCGTTTTCGGTGCTAGTTTCGCTGTCTTTTTGTATGGTGAACCTAGTTTGCCATACGATGCATGAACCCCATTTGCCCTATTGCATTGCCCGATAGACCTCAAGATAAATTGTTTGCACCACTTTCTCTGACTCTCCCGTGTCTTCCTTGCCTGCCATCACACGTTTCCCCCCAGGCAATGGTCTCGGGGCTTCAGCGCTGTCGTACTTCTCAGCCCTTGTACTCCATCCATCCACGTCGACTCCTCACATTCCTTCGCTGTGTTCTTGCCCGCATGCCAACCTTTTTACTTTTACTCATCAGTGTTCGTCTCACACGTGCATATAAGTTTTACGTCACACATCCGTTAGCCTGCACCTCACACAACCTGTACGTTCTGCACACATGCTCGCTGCTCGCTGCCGTGCTGCTGTGTCCACTCCACCGCATCATCATGCCATGCGGCGTCAGCAACCAGCATGTCAGCGGCTTCACCCACCCTGTGTGTGTGCCTCTTGCTTATGCTGCGTTGCCTGCATCTCGGCAGGGGCTGAACGCGCTTGAGGTGCTGGTGACATCCGTGCATGTCAAGTACATCCACTCCTCCTCTGACCCCAAGGTGCGTGCTCCACTGCCTCTTGATGCCAGTCTATGTTTCTGGAAGGCCTTTCTAACTTGACTGCTTTGACGCACATGACCGTCCTCCTCATGCCCGTCCCCGCTCCTCTTTCCCCCTTCCCACTCCACATGCCACCGCCCTGCGTGCAGGCGGCCTTTGAGTTCGGCCTGCACCTGGACCACCTCTCTGTGGCCGCTGCTGCCTCCAAGGACCCCCTTGCTGCTGCCGCCGCCGCTGCTGCAGACGCCATTGCCTCTGCCTCTGCTTCACCTCTTGGCACTGCTCCCCCTGCTGCTGCTGCTGGCTCGTCTGCATTCCTTGTGCAGCCAGACAGTCAGACGCCAACAGAGCAGCTGCTGCAGCAGCAGTGGGAGGAGGAGACGAGGCAGGGGCAGGGAGAGGGGCAGGTGAAGCCACAAACGGGAGACGGGGGGAGGAAGGCAGGGGCAGGGGGGAATTTGAGAAAGAGCATTGAGGTGCGAGGGCTGTCGTTCTACTGGAACTGCCGCAAAAGAGGGTTTGAGGGGAGCTCTCCTGGGGCTAAGGACCAGGGTGCGGGGGAGAGGAGGGCAGGGATGGAGGCAGCCGTGGGCGGAGAGGGAGGGAGGAAGGGGACAGCAGTGACAAGAGGTGCAGGAGAGAGGGTACGGGCAGAGAGCATGGATGTGGACATAGTGTGGGGTGAGGGTGAGACGGTGCCTAGTGATGATGATGATGATGAGGAGGAGGGTGGAGAGATAGGTGCCAAGAGGCAGAAGAGAAAAGTGGGAGCAGAGCAGGGGGTTGCAGGAGGGGAGCAAGGGAAAGGGGGATGGAAGGAAGGGAAAGGGGCGGGAGCAGTGGCAAACAATATGCTGCATCCGCTGGATGCTTCCATTAGACTCGTGGTAAGGCTTGGCTCATGGCTCATGGTGCCATGCTCTGTGAACAAACATGTATATGCCGGTTGACGGGTGTCGGCTGTAGGGTGCCGTTTGTTGGGTGTCAGGTGTCGGTTTGCAGGTGTCGGTGGTCAGGTGACGGGTGTCGGTTGTCGGGTGCCGATTGTCGGTTGACGGGTGTCGGTTGTCGTGCGTCACGTGTCGGTTGTCGGGTGTCGGGTGTCGGTTGTCGGTAGTAGGGTGTCGGTTGTCGGTTGTCGGGTGTCGGTTGTCGTTTGTTTGGTGCCGGTTGTCGGTTGACGGGTTTCGGTTGTCTGTTGTCCGGCGTCGGGTGTCAGTTGTCGGGCGTCGGGCGTCGGTCGTCGGGCGTCGGGCGTCGCTCATCGGGCATCGGAAGTCAGGCGTTGGGCGTCGGCTGTCGGTTGTTGGTTGTCGGGTGTGGGTTGTCGTGTGTTGGGTGACTGTTGTTGGTTGTTGGTGGCGGTTGTCGGGTGTCGGTTGTCGGTTGTCAGTTGTCGGTTGTCGTGTTTAGGTTGTTAGTTGTCCGGCGCCGGGTGTCGGTTGTCGGTTGTTGGTGTTCGGGTGTTGGTTGTCGGTTGTCAGTTTCCAGGTGTTGCTTGTCGGGTCGGTTGTCGGTTGTCGGGTGTCCGGGGTCGGGCGTCGGGCGTCGAGCGTCGGTCGTTCGGGCGTCGGGCGCTGGTCGTCGGTCGTTGGTCGTCGGGTGTCAGTTGTCGGGTGTGCGTTGTCGTGTGCCGGGTGTCGGTTGTCAGGTGTCGGGTGTCGGTTGTCGGTTGTGGGGTGTGGCTATCGGTTGTCGGTTGTTGGGTGTCGGGTGTCGGTTATCGGATGTCGGATGTCGGATGTCGGTTGTCGGTTGTCGGGTATCGGTTGTCAAGTGTCGGCTTTCGGTTGTCGGGTGTCGGGCGTCGGGTGTGGGTTGTCGGGTGTCGGTTGTCGGGTGCCGGTTGTCGGTTGTCGGGTGTCGTTTGTCGGGCGTTGGGCGTCGGGTGTGGGTTGTTGGGTGTTGGGTGTGGGTTGTCAGATGTCGGCTGTCGGTTGTTGGTTGTCGGATGTCGGTTGTCGGATGTCAATGGTTGGATGTCGGATGCGTGTGTTGAAGGTCTGGTTTTATGTGCTTATATGGCACGAGCGAGCAGGTAATGCTCGTTAGACGTGGGCATGAGCCGAGCCTGGCTCGGCCCGGCTCGTTTTGGGTCGAGTCGAGCCGGCTTGGCTCGATGACGAGCCGGGACCCCGAGATGCCCGGCTCGGCTCGTCCCCATGTTGGCGAGCCGGCGCCGGCTCGCTGGTGAGCCGACTCGGCTCGGCTCGCCTTGCTGTTTTTCAGGGGTTAGTGGTTGTTGGGGACCCCTGTTTGCCAGCTTTGACTAGGTCCGCTGCGGGGATTGAGTTTGTCAAGCCCTACATAAACTCCTAGTCTAGACTAGTTGGTGCTTTAAAACTAGCTAAGGCGCGCGCAACGTACAAACGATGTAGTTGCTGGCTAGGGTCCGTGGGATTGGGGTGGGGATGGCGTGGTACTAGTCTGTGTGAGGAGAGTGTTTCGTCAATCTACAAAATGTACCCATGCCAATCCTCCCAAATCCCGAGGTACGAGCCATTTGGCTTGAAATCGAGCCAGGGGCGAGCCAGCTCGCCCCGGTTCGCCGTAAAAAATGGTGCCGAGCTGAGCCTAGCCGTCCGGCTCGACCGAGCCGAGTCCGCTCGGCTCGCCTCGAGCCAGGTACAAAAAAAAAAGGCGAGGCGAGCCGAGCCGAGCCGGGTGTGGCTCGGCTTCTGCCCACGTCTAGTGCTGGTCATTGAGTATTGCTGCACTGCAATATTTGTCTCTCACGCCTCACGTCCAATCTCACTCTCCGTCACGATCTGTTATTCTTCCCCTACCCCCTGTCTACTCCCTGCTTTCCCCTCAAGATGCACGTTGGCCCTCCGGTGCGCACCAGTGCTGCTCCTGTTTCGGTCTCTCTGCGCTGCAGCCACTTGGTGCGTTGAGATTGTTGCTCTCTTGTTTGTTACCACTTGAAGTGCTGAACGCACCTGTTATGGCCTATTGCAGCCACCCAGTATGCACCCAGTCCTCGCTCTGTAAAGTTGTTTTTTCAGAACTACCTCCTGCCACCACTTCCATTCCCCACAGAATATTACTTGCTGATCGCTCAAACGAGTTACCTGTTAATGAGCACACATGCCTCCCACGCCTGTGTGCCACCCCCCCCCCTTCTCTCCCAGCGAGTGTCCCTGGAGGAGCACCAGTACCAGGACCTGCTGCTGCTGGCTGATGCTCTCAACGTGCTGCGCCTCAGAGAAAGGTCCCGCCCCTCGCTCACATGCACCGCATACTTCCAGATGCCTTCTCCACTTGTGCATACGCCGTTTTCTGTGCTTGTTCTCTTCCTTCTTCGTGCTTCCTACTGATCCATTGTTCTGTTTTGTGCAAGTTTGTCTCTGCAGGTACGGCCGCTTTCGCCCAGCGGCCCTATTTTCTTCCTCCCAAACTACACCAGTCGGTGCAAGTACCACAGCATCCGGCAGCACAGGCACTGCCAATGGGTGGCAGCAAGGAGGCGGCAGCAGCGTGGGCGGGGAGCGGGTGCGGGCGTTGTGGTCGTATGCACTCAACGCGGTGCTCTTTGATGTCCGCCAACGCCTCTACCGCCGCTCCTTCCTCTACCTCCCTTCCCGCCTGTATGTCCCTTCCTCCCTTCCCGCCTGGATATCCCTTTCTCTACCTCCCTTCCCACGTACAACCGTAGAGGGAAGACGGTAGACGGTGGACGGTGGACGGTGGACGGCGTTCACCAGTGGACGGTGGATGGGGGACAGCGGACGGTGGACAGCGTCCACCGGTGGAGGGTGGAGGGTGGACGGTGGACAGTGGACGGCATCCACCGGTGGATGGTGGACGGTGGACGGCGTCCATCGGTGGACGGTGGACGGTGGACGGCGTCCACCGGTGGATGGTGGACGGTGGACGGTGGACGGTAGACGGTGGACGGTGGACGGTGGACTGTGGACGGTGGACGGCGGACGGTGGATGGTGGACGGTGTGTGGTGGACGGCGTCCACCGGTGGACAGTGGGCGGCGGGCGGTGGACGGTGGACGGCGTGCGGTGGATGGCGGGTGGTGGACGGCGGGCGGTGGACGGTAGACGGTGGACCGTGGACCGTGGATGGTGGACGGTGGACGGTGGACCTTGGACAGTGGACGGTGGTGGATGGTGGACGGTGGACGGCGTCCACTGGTGGACGGTGGACGGTGGATGGCGTCCACGGGTGGAGGGTGGAGGGTGGAGGGTGGAGGGTGGACGGCGTCCACCGTGGACGGTCTACGGCGTCCACTGGTGGACGGCGGGCGGTGGACGGTGGACGGTGGATGGCGTCCACTGGTGGACGGTGGACGGTGGACGGCTAAGGCCTAAGGTATTCTGTTAGCATACGGAATCGGCCTCAAACTTACCCGTTAGCATACCGATTCGTCAAAGAGATACGCTTTGTTTTCTATCATCATCCTCATACACAAATAGCCTTTGCCAAGGCTAAGGAAAGGTCTGGAGCCCCCAGGGGCTGTTTCTCGCACTTTCTATGCCTCAGGCGGTCGGGAGAGGAAAAAACTTCCCTCTAACCAACCTACGAAACGACAGTCAGGGAAAGAAAGCGCTCTCTTTGCTTAGTGGCGGAAGTGGGGAGGAGTGGGGGGGGAGGAAGGGGGAGGGGTGATATGAACAGATCTTCCACTACAATTGTACTTGAACAGATTCTAAGAAAAATGACGAGTAAGGAAGTCACAGGAAATGTAATGCGTTGGGGAAACGGAATCAGAAAAACTTTAAATTTCTGGCATTCAGGGGTTATTACCCTGTTAGCCGGAGCCCTGCGGCAGACGGTAGACGCTGGACTGAGCTTCCTCCCTTCACGCCTGTATGCCCGTTCCTCTACATCCTTTCCCGCCTGTATGCCTCTTCTTCTCCACCCCTCCAGATGCTTGTTACACCATTCCTCGTCTGCAATATGCCACCGCCTGTGATCCTGTCTTAGAAGCACGTTTCCCCTGCTCACGCATTCACTCATCTGTGCTTGCCCCTCTCCCTCTATCCTCGCTTCACCGCGTCTTGATGACGCCAGGGCGAAGCGGCGGCAGTACGTGGCGCTGTACACGAGGAAGCTGGAGCTGCTGCAGGACCTCCCTGTGAGCACCACTCCTCTGCCGCCCTCTGCGCACCGCCCTCTGCGCACTGCCCTCTGCGCACCGCCCTTGCATATGCCTACGAGTTGAACCTCTGCTATGTGCTCGCTGCATTGCTTTTCCTGTCTCCCGCCCCGTTGCTGCGCGTGACATCGCCCTGTTGCTGCGTCCGAGCATGCATGGCATGCAGGCGGGCGAGAGGCAGCAGCTGGAGGAGATGGAGGACGAGCTGGACCTGGAGGACATCCTCGCATTCAGGACTGCTGCTGCTCAGGTGATGGGCGATGCATGCCATGCTCTTGGACGTCATGATGCCCACCCTGTCTCACCACCCTTGCTTACCTCTCGACGTTTCTTTGCTCTTTGCTCACCCCCGCCTGTCACGCCTCCCTTTCTCGTGCTGCTTCCTCTGCTTCTTCCTCCTCGCAGCGCGCTGCCCGCACAGAATGGGGCAACACCTCCGACTCAAGAGACCCCACTGAAGAGACCTCTGTGGAGAAAGACGGGCGCCCGGACAGACGCAAGGGGAAAGCCGCCCAGCAGCAGCAGCAGCGGAGGGGGAGGGGTTGGCTGAGCTGGTTGTCGCAGGGCATGCTGGGCGCTGCTGGGTCGGATGCGTCGGCCGCAGCTGACGTGATGGCGGCTGTGAGCGACCGCGACCTGGAGGAGCTCTACCGCACGCTCGACTCGCCCTACAGCGCGGCTGAGGGGGATGGCGGGGTGGATGAGCCGCCTTGGATGTCCACATCAGCATCCACGACATCGTCAGCATCTATGGCCATGGACGCGGCATCATCGGCATCTAGAGCCATGGGCCGGAGCCGCTCGTCTGTGCACTCGTTTTCATTCTCCGAGTCATCCTCTTCACTTGACTCCTGCATTCCTGAGGACTCCAGCCTGCCTACCAACCGAGGGCACTCCGTGGCGTCTCACAGGGCGTCTCATGGCCGGGCAGCAGTGTCGGTGTGCCGCCTGGCGTTCACTGCGCATGTAGCAGACGGGCATGCCTCCCTGCGCAGCTCGTGAGTGCAACGTGTGCCCTCTTCCTGTCACCTCCCTGCATGCATGAACCCTCACTTGACGCCCCATCATGCAGACAAGCAGGCTCCGGACCACATCTATTTCTCTTCTTCCCCTCCCGCCTCCAGTCCAGCTCCCCCTGTTCCTGCTGCTCCTTCCCTCTTCCGCCCTCCCCCCAGCTACTCGCGGCGTGACATTGTGAGCCTCAGGCTGCGAGGGCTGCTGCTCAACTCGCGGGTGTGGAGCATATCCTCCTCGCTCTCCCTCACTCTCTCCTCCCTCGAAGCCTTTGACCTCTGGAGCACCACGGGAGGTGCGAAGGGCGCACTAGATGCCTCTGCGTCCTTCTCTGCATCAGACTCCAGAGCCATGGGAGGTGTAGGCGTGGCTGGTGGAGGGGGAGTGGGGGTCGCTGCAGGGAGGCGGGGAGGGCTGTCCCCATCCGCGTCGCAGGAGGATGAGGCCGTCAGGATTCTCTTCCCACAGGCAAGCTTCTCCCTGCCAGTGCCTCCCTGCACCTTTCTCAACGAGATTAGTCACCAGTGCATCATTTGTGCGTTTACCTGTCCGAATCCTCACATGCTCCTATCCGTCGCTCTCATTCTCACCCGCCCTCGCCCTGCCCTGCAGCTCCCGCACGCCTCTCTGCACGCCTTCCTCCCCCCATCCCACCCGTCGCACCCCTCCTTCTACTCCGCCTCCTCCTCCTTCGCCTCCCCCTCCACCGCCCCCTCGCCCTCCCCGGCGGGCCACGGCCATCTGCTGCTGCGCTCTGCCAGCGCTGCCTGGGGCCTGGGCCGCCCTGCCCTGGGGGCGGGCGTGGGGGGCCTAGTGGGGGGGGGGGGAAGGGGCAGATGCTGCCGCGCACGGAATCGCGTGTGGGGCTGGGGCTGGGGGTGGGGGCGGATGGCAGGCTGGGCATGCTGCTGGGAGCAGGTCCAGGGATGGGGTACTCGGGCGCACATGCCCATGCCCATGCCCATGCGCCTCTGGTAGGGCATGGCTACAGTGCTGCACACATGGGCGTGGGGTTGGGCATGGGCATGGGGATGGGCAATGGAGGGTGGGCGAGCATGCGTCGCAACCAGTCATCCCTTGGGATTGGTGCCGTTGCTGCAGCAGAGCATGCGATCGCCATGGGTGGTGGAGGGGGGAGAGGCATGGGAGGAGGGGGTGAGGTGGGGGGCAGGGGTTATGGGGGTCAGAGTGAGGTGCAGGGGTGGAGGCCTGGGGGGCAGATGCAAGGTGCGGCCAGCAGGCCAATGCTGCGAGTGGAGGTTGAGGTGCACCTGCCTCATGGGCATTGGGATGGAGATGGGGGAGGAGATGAGGTGGAGGGCGGTGCGCTCAATGAGACAGAGACAACCATCTCCGTGAGCCCTCTGCCGCCTCCCATCACTGAACTTCTCCCAGCGCAACTCTCTGTCCTGCTGCACCACGGCCTCCTGTCACCCTCTCGCCTCCTGCCTTCCTTCTGCTGAAGCCGGAGGGCAATGCTCCCCCCCACCCCCCCAACTGCAGGTGGCAGTGGAGCCGGTGCAGGCGGTGGTGGGCGTGGAGGTGGTGAAGCGAGTGGGCATGTTCTTCAGCCATCCCACCACCGTGCCCACACACCAGGAACAGGTGGGCATTCGAGCCACCCTCTACTACTCTCCAAGAACAGATGCACACTTTGCTGTACCGTTTTCTGTCACTCTACAACACGCTGCATGGCCCGCCATGCCACGCCCCGCCCTGCCACCAGGTGATTGCGTCCATCAACTCGTTGGACTCAACAACTGCTCGCGCCACCGCCAAGACCGGGTGAGCTCCACTGACATCCATCCTAACATCCTCCACCGTGCCTGGCACACTTGGAATCTGACAGCACGTGTGCCCTTAACAATCCTTTCATGCCTGCCACTCTTCCTGGCCTTGCATCTCTGCTGGCTCTCTTTGCCTGTCCTTCTCCACCTCTTCTCCCGCCAGCCTGGTTCTAGCGGCGCGCAAGGTGCTGCATGTGCATGTGGACGTCGCCAGCATAACTGTCGTCGTCCCGCACTCCGACACCTACCTCTCTGCCCGCCCCTGCCCGCTGCTGGTAATCTTGATACCTCAGAACAGTTAAGAGATCGTTGGCAGGCACTCGCCGCCCGTGGGTCTGGAGAAGCTATAAACTACTGATAGCCCCGTTCTCAAACATTCTACACCGTTTCGCATATTCATGCAGGTAGCTTGTCTGAGCCCACGCTGTCTCACATTTACCCTTTGTTTCGACTCCTTGTGGATTCCCCTACTCGTTCACCCCCTTGCTCCCTCTCCAGGCCCTGCAGCTGTCATCGCTGCACGTGTCGTCCATCCCTGAGCCCCCTGAGCGCCCCCTCCTCGTGCACGCCCTCGCCTCCTCTGGCGACCTGCGCTCCGCTCTCACAGCCCTGGGCGCCAGGGGAGTCATGGGGGGAGGCGGCATTCGGGTGCGGGGAGGAGAGGTTGAGGGGCTGGGGCGAGCAGAGGGAGGAGTTGGAGTGGAGAGAGGTGGGAGAGTGGAGGGGGAGGGTGAGAGGGAGGGGAGAGTGGGCGATGGGGACACAGGAGGGGGCACTGGGAGGGATGGTTGGTTTGGGGGTGGGGGGAAGGGAGGTGTGGGTGGGAGGGGCATGGCGGAGTGGGTGCAGAAGGTGGTGCTGTTCGACAGCGTGGCAGTCAGAGCTGCTGCAGTCAAGGTATGCCGCTCCTCCACTCTCTTCTCTTCTTGTGACTCCCCTCATTCCTTGTCTTGTATGCCTGTCAGAACCCCCCTCGTCTAAGCCCCCTCTTGCACTATCCCCCTCGTCTAAGCCCCCTCTTGCACTATCACTGCTGCTCCTTGCCCCTGCCTCTCAGGTGTTCCTGGTCCCACCGCCCCCTCGCACCGCACCTCCCATGCCACCAGCTCCACCGGTTTCTCAGCCATTCTGGCCGGGCATGGCGGCAGGTGGGCTTGGGGCAAGTGGCATGTGGGCGGGCAGTGGTGGCAGCAGCAGCATGGGGGGGGCGGGCAGTGCAGGGGAGGGAGGCAGTGAGGGGGCGTGCGAGGTGCCTCTGGTGGAGGAGTTCTCCATTCACCTCCACCTGCTGCTCTGCGCTCTCTCAGGCGACCCTGCCACCACCAAGGCCGTTGTGAGTGCGCTGCCCCGCTCTCACTGGCACGTTCTGCTGCAACTCTCTGCATCGCACTCGACCTCACTCCCCCTCACTGTACTCCACTCTCTGCATCCTGTTCATCACCTCCCTCTCCTCTCCACCTCTTTTGAACTCTCCCCTCTCCTCGTTCTCTCTTCAGGTGCAAGGCAGCATACCCCACATCTCCATCCTCCTCTCTCTCCCCAATCTCCGCCTACTCCTCTCCGTCCTCTCCTCCCTCACCCCCCCTTCCACCGCCGTGCCCTCCAAGCCCGCCCATCAGCCAACCGCTGCCATCCTCTTCCCCCCCGCCACGTCGTCCCCTCAAACCCCTCCTCCCGCCCACCCTGCTCCCAACCCCAGCACCAACCCCCTGCCTGCCTCAGGGCCCATTGCTGTTCCTCACCGCCTGCAGCAAGGGGGAGTAGGGGGGGCACTGGGTGCAGGAAGGAGGGGAATTGCTGGCGAGGTAGGAAGTGGGGGCGGAGCGAGGAGTGGCAGCGGGGGGCTGACGTCCACGCCATCGTGGTCCGACATGCTTCAGACGATTCTGCAGCGCGACGCTGCCAAGGTGCCGCAGCACATGCTCGCCTCGCCTGAGCTGGAGGACAGCGCCCTCCATCTGCTCCTACAGCAGCAGCAGCAGCGTGAGGGCGGAGAGGTCGAGGAGGGGGCAGCGAATGAGGGTGGCAGCAGCAGTGCAGATGGGAAGGCAGCAACAGGGGGAGGAGGATTGAGTCGTGTGCACTCTCGCAAAGTGGCAGTGGCGACTGGCATGGACGTATTGACAGGCACGCCCATTGCTGATATGGGAATGGCTGTTGGCAAGATCACAGTGAGGCTGGACATTAGCACCTCCGCCACTGAGTCCCGTGGTTTCAGCAGCAAGCGCGGCAGGGCAGGGCAGGGCAGGGGGGCTGCAGGCGAGGGAGCATCAGGGGCCCACGTGATAACTCTTGAGGCTACCGGCTTGGACGTTCGGTGAGTGCGTTTGTGCGTGACTTGCTTGTGGCCTCCATGTCTTGCTGCTAGACTCTTTCTTCTTGGTTATTCCCTGCTACTGCGCCAACGTTTCCTTGTCAATGTGTGTGCGTGTGTGCATGTGCCCTGCCCATCCGCGTGCTGCCATTGAGCCCCGCTATAGCCTGGTGCAGAGGCTATTGGAGGAGCGCGTCTACGCCACGCTGCATCAACTCCAACTCACCGATTCCTCACGACCCCCCTCCTGCCCCACCCACCACATCATCCGAACACACTTTCCACCCCCGCCCAAACCAACCCTTCGTTCCCCTGCCCCAGCCACATCGTACGCTCCCACAACTGCCTCCCCGCCCCACTCCATCCTCTCCCCATCTCTCTCCTTCCAGCCTGCCCCCTCGCCCCAACTCTGGCTCTCCCCCCAAATGCCTCTGGGTTTCTCTACGCAAGCCGCCCCCTCTGCTCCCCACGCCCTCTTCTCCCGCGTCCTCTCAGCTCCCTCCCTCCCCGCCTGCCTCTCCTTCTCCTCGCTGCCCATGCCCGCCATCCCCACCGGCGGCCAGGCAGGGCCTGCCATGCAATTGAGACAGAGCAGTGCAGCGCTGGGCACTGGCCAATCCTCAGCAGCTGATTCCCGAAGCAATGGTGGTTGGCAGGGAGGGGAGAATGCTGCACTAGGGACAGAGGCCTCAGCCGGCATGTCCGGCTCAGACCCAACCCCAGAAGCAGCTGCAGCAGTCGAAGCAAGTGCAGGGAGTTGTGTGGTGCAAGTGGAGGTGTGTCTGAAGTCAGCGTCGCTGACTGCAGCATCGCGTGACTCCACCTCACTCTCCTTCCACCTCTCCTCCCTCCACCTCACCGCCTTCCAACCCACCCTCCTCGCCCTCCTCGCCTTCGCCTCCTCCCTCTCCGCCCCCACCCCGCCCTCCCCCTCCGCTGCCCTGCCAGGCAGTGGGTCCGGCAAGAGGCACTACTCGCAGGGCAGGGAGGGGGGCAGCGGGCTCATGGGTGCCCACCCCTCGGCAGACCTCACCCTCTTTGAGAGCCCCTCCAGCTCATTCTCCTCTGCTGCCTCCTCACCCTTCAGCTCTCCCCCCGCCACTGCTGACGCCCTGTTGCCGCCAGCAGTGCTGCCTGCTGGAGCGCCGGGCAGGAGCCCACAGAGGAGTAGGGAGAGGTTGGCCGTGGGGCAGCAGGGGATAAAGAGACGGGCACGGGCTGTGTTTGAAAAGGTGTCTGGTGATGACGCCGCTGATGCTGCTGCTGCTTCTGCCGCTGCTGCTGGCGGTGCTGCTTCACACAATGGTGGCACTGGTAGTCGCACAGATTCCTCACTGCCTCCTGCTCCAACCCACGGCCCATCCAGTCACATGATACTGCATCCTTCTGATAATTCACCTGCAATGGGCAGCACAGAGCTGATTGTGGACGGCCGAGTAACTGGGCTGGTGGTGCGGGTGATGGAGGAGGGGAACGAGGCAGCACAAGGGGGGGTGCAAGGGGGAGAAGAGGGAGTGCATGCGATGGAAGGGAGGAGGGACTTGGAAGGGAGGGGGCAAGTGGTGGAGGTGGCAACTGCTTCGCTGGGCGAGGCTGTGCTGCAGGCAGACGTGAAGCATGTAATGGGCCAATCAGAGCCTGCCATGTGGACATGTACTGGGTGCATCAGTGGGTTTGAGGTATGGGGGCCAGTGGGTGGTGGTGGGCGCTATGTTCCTCGTCTCGCTACTGGTGCTGCCTCTAGCGCCCCGCCAGATACTCCACAACTGCAGCAAGGGCAGCAGCAGCAGCAGCAGCAGCAGGTGATAGTGGGCAGTGTGTGGGCGCCAGGAGCACGGCCAGGCACCATCACCTTTGCAGCCCATGGCGCTCACACAGGGGCATCAGGGGGGGGTGGGAGTGGGGCAGGCGCCATGCTGCATGTGGATGTGGCTGTCTCGCGCCTGCTGCTCGTGGTGTCAGAGCCTTTCACTGAGGGCATTGTGGGGCATGTCACACGCTACCTCCCGCCCCCCTCCCTGTCCGCTGGCCCAACTCATGGTGGTGCTGGGGATAGGGGGGAACGCGCATCAGCGCCTTCCCGTGCTCCGCATGGTGGCGAGGGGGGACAGGGAGAGCAGAGGCAGCACACAGGGGTCACTGCTGCCACGAGCCCCTCTGAACCGCCCTACATCACCCCCTCTGCACGCTCGCCTCTCTTTATGACTCCCATTTCTCCTTCTCCTTCTCCTTCGCCTTCCAGATACCCCACGACACGAGCCAGAGCAGCCCGCACTGCCACGGCTTCCCCTGCCACCACCCGTGCCTCCCCCTCGCCCCTAAGAGGGGGGATTGCTGTTCGGGGATGGGTGGCTGGGGAGGGGCGGATCGAGGGAACCAGTCAAACCAGCCCACTCGGGGTAAAGGGCAGGGGGAAGCGGGAGAGGGGGGAGGGGGAGATTATTGGGGGCCTAGGTAGTGGGTCGGGGGAGGGCGACAGCTGGTCAGGGGCGCAGTTCTTCAGCCCTGTGGGTGACAGTCCCCTGCGATGGGGAGTGGTGGAGGAGGGGGTTGAGGGGGAGGGAGAGGAGGAGGAAAAGGGGGAGGCAGGGCAAGGGAATGTGAGGGTGGAGGGGGCTGTGAGAGTGGAGGGGTGTGAAATTGTGGTGATTCCTCTAGGCCACCCTCAGAGCTTGCTGCAGCCATCAGCAACCAGTCAGGTGCAGCCATCAGCAACCAGTCAGGTGCAGCCATCAGCAACCAGTCAGGTGCAGCCATCAGCAACCAGTCAGGTGCAGCCACGTGCAGCTGATCGCAACACGCCAGCAACAACCTCAGGGCAGTGGGTGGGCCATCCCTGCCTGATCATTGAGCTGCCTCTTATCACTGCCAGGCTCCCATGCCACGTGACATGTTGGGATTGGTCCTCATCTTGCACAATCATGTGGCTGGATGGGAGGGAGGAGCAGGGGAGCAGGGGTATAGGCGGGGTGAGTTGCGGTGGGGAGAGGGAGGGTGGAGGGGAGCGCACGGGGTGGCAAGAAGGGGAGGGCGAGGATGACAAGTGGGAGGCGGCGGAGGTGAGGGTGGAGGGCCTCAGGGTGAGCATGGCCACAGGCAGGCTGCGGCCGCTCCATGACGCCGTATCTGGTGGGGGCGCCTGTGACGCAGGGGAGGAGGGGGGGGTGGCGGGGTGGGTGGGGGAGAGAGTGGGTGTGGTGCAGCAAGTGGACGTGGTGCTGCACGTGGCGCTGCCACAGCCTGCTGGGCGCACTCAGCCAGGTGCCGCAGTGCAGGAAGCAGCAGAGGGAGTGGGGCCAGAGGCACATCCAGTGGGGTCAGAGGCGGGGTCAGGGATGGAGGAGACAGCAGGGCAGGCAGCAGCAGTGCGCAATCCGCATGAGTGGATGCGAGTCATGGTTCAAGTGCCCACCGTGCAGCTGGTCGTCATGGGTGAGTGTGCAGCGCATGCTGTGGGAGGGCAGTTTGGTGTAGGGAATACCACCAGATCTGGATGTTATAAACGAAGCACATTACATACCGATTTGCACCCTTGGCTCGAGTCTGCTTAGCCCATTTCCCATCCGTCATCCACTTTGTCTCGTCCCTCCCCCATGCCCCTCCCTCCAGAGCACTCCCCTGTGAGGGAGGCGGACCTGCTCGCCAGCTCCATTGCTGCGCTGCTCGCCCTCATCCCGCCCCAGCCGCCACCCCAGCAGCCCTCCCCTCCCATCGCCCTGCGCTTCCACCTGCACCAGCTCCGCCTGCACCTCACACGAGGCACCACTTCCCCATCTTCCCCTTCCTCCTACCTTCCTTTCACTGCCTCGCTTCCACAGCCCATCTCCCATCCCTCCCGCATCTTGTCCCCTTGCTTCCGTCTCCCCCCCGGCCCTCTCTTCGCGCTCCTCTCCATTGATCATCTGCGTTGCGCTGCTACACTGCAACCATCCGGCCAATCGGTGAAGGCCACGTGGCAGAGCATTGCCCTGTGGGGCTCACTACCCAGCGCACCTGTCCCTTCCCAGCAGTGTGGCAGTGCTGCTGCGTCCTCAGCCAGCAGACAGGCAGCGCCACCAGCAGCTTTCGCACGGGAAGAAACGACAGCAGCAGCGGCAGCAGCAGAAGCTCCAGCAGGAGGGTTCTCAGCTGCAGGGGCGTGGGCAGGGCCGGCAGCAGATGTTCCAGGGGCGGTGCAGGAGTTTCTGCGAGTGGCTGTGCCTCTGCTGGTGGTGGAGCGTGAGATACACAGCTCAGTGCATCGGGACCCTGCCCATACCCACCTCTCTCCGTACCTTGCCTTGTCCATCTCCTCCTCCCCACCCCTGCCTTCCTCCCCCGTCCCTCACACCACTGCTGCGCCCCCCTCCCCTGCCCTTTCTCCATCACCCTTGCAGTCCCCGCACCCGCACCCTCACCCTCTGCCAAGCCCCTCTCTGCGCTCACAAGCATCGCCGTCCACCCCAGCGACCATGGCAGTAGCAGCAACATCACCAGGGCATGTGCAAGCTGTCCCCCAGAGCAGCACCCAGGCCATACATGTGCACGTGCAGCTCCCCTCCCCCACCCTCTGGGCCTTCCTCCCCGCCTGGTCGTTCCTCGCCTCCCTGCTTGCAGGTAAGGCTCCTGGGAGTGGTGCCACAGGAGGTGCAGAGGCTCCAGGGGACGGGCGTGCAGGAGGTGCAGGTGAAGCAGGTGTGAGAGGGAAGCATGCAAGCGGGAGGGGACGAGGGATAGGACGTGGGGGGGGAGCGGAGGGGCAGGCAGGGATGATGGGGTTGGGGCTGGAGGAGTGCGGCGGCAGTGGAGTGCATGGTGACATGGATGGGGTGGTGCACGCAGCGCTTGACGAGGGGGTGAGAGGGAGTGGCATGTTGGCAGATGGCAGCGATGACACATGCAGTGGTGGAGGCGTAGCAGCAGCTGCGCCGCATGTGCATGTGAAGATGCATGCAGTTGTAAAGGTGGATGGAGTTACTCTCGTCCTCCCTGGTCAAACCGTCTCCCAGCGCACCTCACAAGGTGCCTTGCAGCTGCAGCAGCACAGGGGCGCAGGCAGCAGCAGTGCTGTACAGCAGTGCAGCCCAGGGGTTCGCAACAGCATAGAGGGCTGCAGTGCCCTGGTGTTGCGGGTGAGGGCCGTTTACTCCCAAGTGCGCGCCTCTGTGCTGCCCAGCAGTGGGCTCAGCAGAGCCGTGCTCTCTGCCGGCCTTCACTCCGTGGACCTCTCCTGCGTGCGCGGCCTTGGCATGGAGCACTCTGGGGGGGACGATGGAGATGGCGGTCGCAGTGCTGATGGGGCTGCCGACCTGGTCAGCTCTGACCCTCTTAGTCTCCCTCCTGCCTCCCTCAGTGCCTCTGTGTTACCTCCGCGTCCCAGCCCCTTCTCCCTCCGCCTGAGCTGCTTCCTGCCTCCTCCTCCAGATGCTCGTCGTACGCCACTTCCTACCACTGCCCCCGCCCCTGCCCCTGCCCCGGCCTCTGCTTCCACTGCGTCCAGCGCACCATCTGTTCGTCTGCCGCCTCCTCCCTCCGCCTTACTGCGCCTGCTGCAGCTGGCAGGGTTGCAGCTGCGCCTGACAGCAGTGGCCGGGCAGCCTGGAAGCACTGCAGGGATGGGCGTAGAGGGGCTTGATGATGGTGCTGTGGCGGTGGAAGAGGAGGAAGGAGGGCGAGGCAGAGCGAGGGAAGGGAGACTCGCAGATGCAGGAAGAGATGCAGCGCGGACAGGGGAAGGTGGCAGCACTGATTCTGGTGGCGGTGATGGTGGGGGCAGCGCGCTTGGCATGATCTGCTTGAAAGACCTTGTGGTAGTGGAGAGAAGGGAGCAGGAAAATGTGGGGGAAATCAGAGAGGATGGTTTTGTTACAGCCGAGCACAGTGACGAGGGTCGCAGAGCACCAGCAGCACCAGAAGTACCACCGCAACCAGCAGCAGCAGCAGCTGCAGCAGCAGCAGCCTCTGCCAGTCTGGGTGCATCTCCCTTCACCCTACATGCCACATCAGCATTTGCTACTCACCTTTGTCTGGGGCGAGTGCATGCACGCTGCTCGCCCGAGAGTCTGCACTTCCTCACGACCTTTCAGCTGCCGGGGCAGGCTGCATCTGGGGCAGGGTCCCTGGAGGGCAGTGGTAGAGGAACCACACAGCAGAGGCAGCAGCAGGGGAGTGCAGCAGCGCTTCAGAGCAGCAGCAAGGAGGGTGGCAGCAGCGGCAGTGCGGCATGCGACGCAGTGGTGTTTGTGGGCGTGGAGAGCATGGTGGCGGAGCTGGCGGAGAGTGACGACGACTGCGACCCTCTCTTCCACCTGTCCCTCAGTGCCACAGCCGGCCATGCCCTCGCATGCCTCCCCAGTGGCCATCTGCATGCATCCCTCGCCTCCACCCTCGCCCTGCACTACCTCAACCAGGACAAGGTGAGTGGTCACCAACCACCCTCTACTATTCTCTTCTCTCTCCAGTTCGATCGACAAGCACTGGCCACTCTTCCTCATGCCTCGTCAACCTCTCATGTCTCTGCTGGTCCTCTTTCTCACCTGAGCTACTTGCGCTGTCCTCCCATCTCACCCCTCCTCCCTCCCTCTTTATCTCCCCCCTCCCAGGCTGCCTCAGAGCCTCTCTGTGAGCCCTGGCCCCTCCAGCTCTCCGCCTCCCTGCACTCCCTCTCCTCCCTCACCAACCCTGAATCCGCCTCCGTCTCCGCTCTCCCCCTTACCCTCCCCTCCACCTCCTCCTCCCCCTCTTCCACCGCCCTCACCTCCCTGGCTCTCACCTCCTCGCATCCTCTCAATCTCAACTTCACGCCTTCACTCCTCGAGGTATCGCGTGTCTCCTCTGACCTCAAATGCCCTCCTCTCTCCTGCCTGATTCCTTTTTCTCCAATCAGTCGCCTCCTCTTATTGCATTGGCCCTCTACCCTGGGCTAGCTGTATGCAATGCGTGCTCCTAGCTTCTCACCCAGCTCCTTGCTCTTTCCACGCAGTTCTCTCTCCCATTCACCCTCTCCTCTCTCTCCTGTGCCTGCAGGCAGCGTGCATCACAGCCACACTCTTTTCCAACCCACAGGTTCGTGTGGTGCCCTCTCCTCCCACACGCTCCTTCTCCCACCGTTTTGGCCGCACATATTGCCGACTGGAAGCCAGCGTCCTTGCATCTCTGCCGTCGCCTTCTGTGCCGGCACTGTGAAGCTCGCACTGCTGCCACTTACGCCTGCTCTTGCTCTTGCTTGTTCTTCTCCACTGTGTCATTTCTCTCCCAGGCGCACCACGTGTCATCGCACTATTGGGTGGAGAACCACACAGGCGTGACTCTGAACCTCTGGTTTGGCGACGATTCCCCAGACTTCACATCAGCAGCAGCAGCTCCGTCAGCAGCACCATCAGCAGCAGAAGGCGCTGTATCCCCACCCACCCCACCACACATCACTGTGCCTGTTGGTGCCTGCATGCCACTCTCCCTCTCCTCCCGCCTGCCACTTCCCCGCACCCGCTCCCCCTCCCTTGGAGCAACTGCGCCATCTAATGCACAACCCACCATCCAGGGGCAGGCAGGCAGGCATGGCAGGGGCAGCAGCAGGGGGCGTGCAGCCAGCTTCACAGGCAGCACTGCAGCAGCAGGGATGGGGGAGATGGGGGGGCGGCAGCTGTGGGTGCGAGTGGGTGTGGACGGCAGTGACTCAGTCTGCCGCCCTCTGCTGCTGGAGGGCGGCATGCGGTTAGCCTTCCCTGTCTCTTACGCGGCAGGGAAAACTGGATGTGAAGGGGGAGGGGGAGGGTCGCAAGAGCCCAGCATGTGGCGGGGAGAGAGGGGGATGGGGGTGGGGCTACAGGGAGTGGCGGCGGTGGAAGGGGGCCCAGCGCGGGTGCAGGGCACGGTGATGCTGGAGGTGGTGAGGGAGGGGCGGCGGCACCGCCTGGTGCTGCGCTCGCTGGTATCTGTCTTCAACGCCTCACACACGCCCCTGCTGCTGCAGGCGCGCCACTCCCACCGCCCCGACCTCCCCGTGCAGGACGTGGGGTTGTGTGGCGCCAAAAGCACTCTGCACCTGCCCCTGCACCTCACCTCGTCCACGTCGCTCCAGTGGCGACCAGCCCAGGGGCCATGGGCGTGGAGCGAAGAGACCAGGCTGGATGATGCTCTGCTGGCCCCCGCTGCTGCCACCATCTCTTGCACTGGCACCAGTAGCTCAGGCGCTAGTGGCAACAGCGATAGCAGCTGCAGCAGTGGTGTGGTACCGTTGCTGACCCGATCTGCATCGTTATCTTCTGTGTCAACTCCCGGCATCGCTGCCTCCCTCGACCTGCTGCCCCCCTCCCTCTTCTGCCTCTCCCTCACCTCCACCCAATCGCCTCTGCCCCTCAGGTACTGCTCTCCACCTTGCATAGTGTGTAACGTTTCTTCTGTGTTCTATGCTCATTGACCGTTCACCATTGCACTGCCCGTTCAACTCCATCTCCTCCCTCTCCCCTCTCTCTGCCTCTGTGTCTGCTCCCATTCACATTCAGCTCGCCTCCCCCGGCACCCACTCATGGCCCCATCCCTCGGACACCCGTAACCAGTCCACCCCACGGCAGCACCAGCCCTGCCCTCCGCCCCCACTCCCCGCCCCTCACTAGCACCAGTCCCCATCACCCCAGCAGCCCCCCTCACACTATCCGCCGCATTTCGTCCTCCAGCGCCGATGCCGCCACCATCGCTGCAGCTGCTGCAATCCAAGCTGCTGCACTCCTCGCCAACCCCGCCAGCATGACAGCAGCAAGCCGTGGCGCCACATCACCCCCAGCCACGAGCCCCGCCTACCCTCTGTCGAGGATTGGCAGTGCTGCCAGCATCGGCTGCCCCTCTCCTGCGCTCGCCCCCTCTGCTGCAGCTGTGGATGGCAGACAGGCAGGAGGCAGGAGGGACAGGGGAGGTGGTGAAGCATGGTGGGCGGCAGTGGGGGAGGGAGAAGGGGAGAGGAGGGAGAGGGGCGGAGGAGGGGAGGCAGCAGCAGGAGTGGGGGAGGGCATGGCGTGGGAGCAGCAGCTGTGTCTCGCAGCACCTCTTGTGTTGAAGAACCTTCTTCTCACCCCCGTTACTGTCACGCTGATATGCACAGAGCAGCACATTCTGCTGCCAACCACCATCACCATCCCCCCTGTGAGCCATCTCTTGTACTCTACCCTGAGTGCACAGGTTTTCACTGCTTTCGGTACCATGCAGGTCACGTGTCATACCCACCCTTCTCCTCTCTGCCTACCTTTCTCCGCAATTCGCCCTTCTCATCCTCTCCTCCCTGCCCTCCCCCCTGGCAGGGTTCGTCGGTGGAGGTGTTTGACTTTGCGGCCCACCACGCCCTGCACGCCTCGCTGCTCATCCCCGGCTTCCATGAGTCCCCTCCGCTGCTGCTTCCCGCCCCCCCTGCTGCCAGTACCACCAACGGACGGCCAGGAGGGCAGAAGAGGGGAGGGAGGGGGAAGACAGGGGAAGAGGGGCGGGGGGAGGAGTGGCAGCAGCACAAGGAGGAGGAGCTGCTGCTCACGCGCTTGGCAGGTGGGTAAATGGCTGAGAGGCGGGGTTCATTGCTAGCAGCTGACACCCGTTTTATGGCCACGCCCCTTTGATGCAGCACAGATCCTAAGCATGCACTTGTGGTGGCTTCCTCACATGCATCTGGTTCGTGCCGTCCAGCCATTTCCACTGGCGAGTGCCAGTCATCCCTGCCATCAATGCCTGCCCCATGCCCCACCTACCCTGTGCTGCCCACCACCAGGCCCCCCTGTGTCCCTCCACCTGCTCCACTCCCACCGCCCCGCCTCCGCCTCACGCTGCCTGCGCGTGCTGACGCCCCTCACCATCGTCAACGCCACGGACCTCCCCCTCTCGCTCTCCGACGCCCACCTCCAAGCCACGCCGTCCGCCCATCTCTTCCTCCCCCCCCACCCCGCGCTCCTCTCAAGTGACACCCTGGTGGCTGCCACGTCAGCATCTCTTCCCACCGCCATGGTGGCTAGTGGCGTGCCGCTTGTGGCAGGTGGCAGCGCAGCAACAGGCGGCTTGATGGGGGGGCTGGCGGATGTGCTGTCTGGGAGCAGCAGAGGAGCGAGTGCTGGTGGTGCTGATGGCAGGGCGGACTCACACACGCCTGCAGCGACAGACACAGGAGCTGCAGGGAAGGGTACAGAAGGGAGGACAGAGGGCAGAGGGGGAGGTAGGGAGGAGGAGAAGAGGCAGGGAGTGGCGCCCCAGGCACCCATGGCTCTCTTCACCCCTGCCCCGCCTGCGCCTGCTCTTGAGGCTGACTCTGCTGCCCCTGGTGCCACCGCAGGGCTGCACCCCACCCAGCCAGCTCTTGTGCTGCGAGTGGGGGGTGCTGCTGCCGCTGCTGGCCTTGGCGCTGGGGACATGCGCTCTTTGACTGTCACTCCGCCTTCCGCCGTGCCTCTCTGGAGCCAAATGTCCCTCTCTGGTTGGTCAGCAGCTTTTCCTGTGGAGCCGGCAGGAGGGGTGGCAGAGGTGCTGGTACCGCAGTCAGGGGGCAGCAGTGGTGGTGGTGCTGCTGGTGGCGGTGGTGGTGGTGGTGGTGGTGGCGCCTTCGCCCTGAGTCTCACCTGCTGTGACACCCTCGGGGAATCGGCTGGCCGTGCCAAGACCATCACCCTTCGCCCTCGGTCTCTGCCCTGTGCTCTCTGAGCGGCATTGCTCGTCACGGCCTTTGTGTGTGGAGGACGTTTTGCCTTTGTGCATGATGCATTGCTGCGTGACGTTGTTCAGTCGCTTGGGCCGTCGCTTATCTCCTCCTCCCCCACTCAGCCTACTTGCTCCCTCCCCTCCCCTGTCCTTCCTCCCACCTTCACTCTGCCAGCTACGTGGTGGCCAACAGCTTGGCAGCGGACATAAGGGTGAAGCAGCACGGCACGGACCGACACACGCTCATCAAGGCTGGAGGCAACGCGCCCATTCACTTCACCAAGCTGCAGCGGTAACACTCGGCTGCTCTGTTCGCTAGTTGCACTCAGCTCTTATTTTTAACACTAATTTGTTACGGGGATATTCCAATTTATGCACCTTGAGTTATGTTACCTGATATCACTCTCCCTTGTTACACTCTCCGCCCCTTCTCTTCCCTCCCAGTCGTCTCTACCTCTCGCTGCGCTTGGCTGACAGCAGCTGTGAGTGGTCGGGCGCCTTCCGCCCCTCCCAGCTGGGCGACACGCAGCTCAAGCTGCGCTGCTCCTCCTCCTCCGCTTCCTCCACCTCCTCGCCTCTCGCCCTCACCCACATTGTGAGGGTCGACGTGTCGCTTGCTGAACCGCACCTCCCACAGGCAGCCGCTACAGCTGCGAGCACAGCAGCCACTAGGACGGATTCCACTGCCAGCACTGCTACCATTGGTGCCAGCAGCATAGACAGCGGCCGTAGGAGGGACAGCAGTGGGGGGAGTGGTGGTAGCTGTGGGAGTAGTGGGGCAGAGGCGAGCGGCGGCGGCAAGTGGAGTGGGGGCGGCACATACCTGGTGGTGGTGGGGGAGGACGACTCGGGCTTCATGCCCTTCCGCATCGACAACTGCTGCCGCGAGGTCAGCTGGCACGGGGGTGAGAGGACCAGGGGCACACACATGTATAACTCCTAACACAGGACTGAAGAAGCGCACAGAACATAGGCAGGCGGACGTACGACAACGCACAACATAACTATCCCTCCTGCCTGCGTTTTGCCATGCCCCCTACTGTCCCCCTACTGTCCCCCTACTGTCCCCCTACTGTCCCCCTACTGTCCCCCTACTGTCCCCCTACTGTCCCCCACTGTCCCCTACTGTCCCCCTACTGTCCCCCTACTGTCCCCCTACTGTCCCCCTACTGTCCCCCTACTGTCCCCCTACTGTCCCCCTACTGTCCCTGTCCCCCTACTGTCCCCCTACTGTCCCCCTACTGTCCCCCTACTGTCCCCCTACTGTCCCCCTACTGTCCCCCTACTGTCCCCCTACTGTCCCCCTACTGTCCCCCCACTGTCCCCCTACTGTCCCCCCACTGTCCCCCTACTGTCCCCCTACTGTCCCCCTACTGTCCCCTACTGTCCCCCTACTGTCCCCCTACTGTCCCCCCACTGTCCCCCTACTGTCCCCCTACTGTCCCCCTACTGTCCCCCTTCTGTCCCCCTACTGTCCCCCTACTGTCCCCCTACTGTCCCCCTTCTGTCCCCCTACTGTCCCCCTTCTGGCCCCCTACTGTCCCTCGTGCTGCCCCCCCCCCCCCTTGCCCCCAGGTGCTGCGGTTCTACCAGCGCGGCTGCGAGGGTCTGGGCCACACCGACTCCCTCAAACCCTTCGCTGCCACGCCCTATGCATGGGACGAACCCTGCCGCCCACACCGCCTCGTGCTGGAGGTCAGAAGCTGACAGCCCATGGCAGTCGTTTGTGCCACCCCCCTGCCTTGGATGGCGTTGCTGTTTCAGATCGTCACCAATCTTTCACTCTTGCGACCATACGACCCATGACTCCCTGTTATTGCAACGTGCCCTTATGCCATCACGCCATGACTGTGGCGTCATTATAGGTGCATCATGGGTCCATGTCCCACACCCTGTGACAGGTACCAGGCGAGGGCGGCAGCATGGGGCACTTCCCCTTGGACCAGGTCAAGCACTTCCCGCTAGTCGTCCTTCCCGCGACGCCTCAGGTTCGCTCACTATCATTCCCCCCCTCCTTTTGAGTCGACTCAAAAGCAGTTCGCTCACTATCATTCCCCCCCTCCTGCCTCATTTTCTTTCTCTCTACCGCAAGCTCTTCCCTTACATACCATTCCCCTACCTTGTTCTCTGCGTGTGTCACGCTCCCTTCCTGCCTGACCTCCCTCTACCTATCCCCGTCTACCCCTGCCTGATCTATTGCAGAGGGAGCAGCGGCGACTGAGAGTATCCGTGTCGGCACAGGGACCAATCAGGGTATGGGCGCCGATATTCCTAGTCCGTTTCCTTGGAGTACATGTTTTGTCGATGGGTTGCCACTGGCAACTCTCATCCGTCCACCACCCCTTGCCCTCACCTGTGTGCCTCCCTCTCTCCACTGTGCATCCCCTGTCTGTGCTCCCTCCATCCCTCCCTACCGCAGGTCCTCTCTGTGTGTGACATCGACCTCTTCCCTCCTCCCTCCTCCCTCCATCCGCTCCGCCACAAGCACTCCACCATGACACGACATGCTGAGCTGGCATCCAGTCAGCACTACCAGCCATGGCATCCCACCTCCAAATCTATTGGCCCAAGATCCCCCTCCTCCCCTCTTGAGCTGCGTCTGAGTGTTTGCATCCCCCTTCTAGCCCTCTCAATTATTGACAATCGCCCCCAGGAGCTCCTGCTGCTGTCTCTGCACCGCCTCTCGGTCTCCTTTACCCGCTCCCCCCACCAGCATTCCCTCTCTTTCCTCCTCTCCCACCTCCAACTGGACAACCAGCTTCAAAACGCCCTCTTCCCTGTCCTCCTTGCCTCCTCCTCCCCTCCTCCCTCACTCACTCACTCGCCATCCCCATCCCCTTTCTCCGCCTCTCACCCTTCGCCCCCCACACCGAGCCTCTCGCTGCTACAAGCTGCCCTCCAGACGCCCTCCGTGCTGCTCTCCTCCGTCCTCTTCCACACGGCACCGCAGCAAGGCCCTTCCCACAGCGCCCTGCAGGGGGGGCAAGCGGCAGTGGAATTGGAGGTGGTAGCGTGGCGGCAGCGAGTGGGGTCCGTTCTCTGCGTGGAGCGCGTTGCAGTCAGGTGAGTGCTGGCAGTGGGGCGAGTGGTGGGTGGGGTGGGGGGGCGAGTGCTGGCATTGCAAGCCATGCCTTGGCTGCATCTCTTCTTTCCGCATTGCCTCCATCCGTTCTTTCCATTGACAAAACCCGTTCAGCCAAACCAGCTTCATGTGTCTGCACTCCTACCCCCCATCCCTCCCACCGCCCCAGCCTCGCCCCTCTGTCGCTGGAGGTGGAGGAGCATGTGCTGCTGCGCCTGCTCGACTTCTCCCGCGCCTGCATCCCCACCCTCTCCCCCCTCAACGCTCCCGCACCCTCCTCCCCGCCTCATGCCTCCTCTGCGGCATTGCCTGGGAAGGATCTGGGGGGAGGACAAGCAGAGAGGGCAAGGGGGGGAGGCGGGCAGGGAGGGGAGGGGGCGAGGGGAGTAGGTGGAGCAGGGGTAGGGAGGAGCTGTGGGGATGCGGAGGACAGGGAGGAGGGGGGGCAGCAGGGGCATAGAGAGGTGCGGATGTATGTGTGGTGTAGTGGGGCGTCTGTGGCAGCAGTGGGCGTGGTGGGCGGGCAGGGCCTGGACGTGACCCGCCATGTGCGGGGGGCGGCCAACATGTACATTGAGAGCATGAGCGTGCACCCCCTGCGCGCCACCATCAGCTTCGCCAGTGCGCCGTGGGCCTCGGACCAGACCAGGGGTACTGCAGCACAGGGGGTGCTTGGGGCGGTGGGGGCGGTGGTGCAGCGCAGTGTGCTGGCGCTGGCAGACGTGCAGGGGGCGCCCCTGGGGCTGTCCGCGTGGCAGCTGGAGCACTTCTTTGGCGGGCCGCAGTCGCTGGCTGCTAGACTGGAGCGCCACTACACGCTGCAGCTGCTGCAGGCGCTGTACAAGGTAGTGTGGGGCGCTGTACAAGGTAGTGTGGGGCGCTGTACAAGGTAGCGTGGGGCGCTGTACAAGGTAGTGTGGGGCGCTGTGCAAGGTAGTTTATGGCCTAGTGCTTTGCATTCCAAGGATTTTGATCGCCAAGGCACACGGCCTAAAGTGCTATCACAGTACAAGGTAGAAGCTACCTACCCTGCAGCGCCTGCAGCGCCTGCAGCGCCCATCCATTTCCGCCTCTTCCCCACTTTCTGCCTGTGCCCCCCTTCCCTCCCTCCCCCTGCCCCCACCTCTCTGCCCCCAGGTGGTGGGGTCGGCGGACTTCCTGGGCAACCCAGTGGGGCTGCTCTCCTCCGTCTCGACCAGCCTCTGGGACCTGCTCGCCTCGCCCACGCACACGCTGCTTATGCGCCGGGTACTTCCCTCTCCTGCCCGTGGCCCCCGCCTGCCCTTCACCCTCACCTGCCCTTCCCCTGTATCTGCACAATGCAGACATGCCTTACTGCTGTGCCATGTTGCTCTCTCACATGCATCAAGGACACCAAGGGCTGAGCAGTGATTGCATCATGAGTACTCTCCTCCTTCCCCCCCCCCCCCCCCTCTTTGCGATCCTCCTTGCCTCCTGCTGCCCTCAGAGCCCCGCAGGGTTCGCGAGGGGCGTGTGGGCGGGGTGGAAGAGTCTCCTGCGCACCACTCTCTTCGCTCTCTCGCACTCCGCCTCCCGCATGTCGCACGCCGCTTCCAAGGTAACATTGCTCCTCCGTACGATGTGGCTTTGATGTGGACCCAAAGCCAACATGGGCCACAACTTACGGGCCACTATGTTGTATGCATCTGGCTATTCGTCATCTCTCTCGGCTTTGCCTCCTCGCTTTCCCTGCCCGCCATCCTCCCGCCATCTTCTCATTCCCTACCACCCCCCTGTTCCTTCCTGCCCCCTGTGTGCGTGGCATGGCATGGGATGGCAGGGAATGGCGTCGCTGGCATGGGACGAGGAGGATGAGGAGAGCATGGAGCAAGCACGGCAGCCATGGGCCTCACATGCCTCGGATGAGGCCTCGTTCTTTGCCTCGCTCATTCAGGTGTGTGCTGCCTGCTGCTCCAGTTGACTGCCCCATCTCAAACACGCCGTGTACTCTGATATATGTCGGGTGCGCACACAGCTACCCATATTCCCCCCCCCTCTGACCTCTCCCCTGCCTCATGTGCATCCCGCCATCCCCTGCGCAGGGCGTCACGGGTCTCTTGGACCGTCCAATCAGAGGATGGGAAAGGGGTGGTCTGCCCGGCCTTGCATCTGGTGAGCTCTCTTGCCTGAACCACCACCACTATATCCCACTGCTTCGCACCCCACTGCCGCACTCTTCTATACTCCACTCAAGCATCCTGAATGTCCTCGCTTCAGCTGGCCCAGTGATACGTCGTATAAGACATGCCTGGGCTTCTTTCCCTCCCAATGCCAATGCCACCACTTCATCTCTCCCCTCGTCCCCCACTCCCCCTCTCCCAGGTCTGACACAGGGAGTGCTGGGAGTGGTGGCGCGCCCAGCAGCATCCGCGCTGGCGCTGGCAGCCGCCACAGCGGAGAGCATTCGCAACGTGGCCCGCCCGCCCGGCCCATCACAGGCGCTGAGGCCGCTGCGCCTGCCGCGGCAGGTGGGGACGGGCCGCCCCCTCGCGCCCTACTGCCACACGCAAGCCGCTGCCCAGGCCGCCCTGGCAGAGGGCGCAGGGGGGGCGTGGCGCGATGAGGTGAGGGGGGGGGGTGCTGCATGGGGTGGGTGGGTGGTGGGGGGAAGAGGAAGGGAGGAAGGGGAAGTGTGTGGGGAGAAGGAAACGTCACCGGTCATATTCTCGTATACTCATCTGTTTCTGGGCTGTTCCAATGAAGGTATGGTAAGCACCTCATTCCCATAACCTCTCATTGTTATGTATCTGCCGTGCATTTTCCATTCACTCCCTCCCATACATGCAGGATGCCCTGGCTTGCTTCCAAGTGGTCCCTGAGCCGCCAGCATCGGCATCATCATCAGCAAGCACGTCAGTGGCACCAGAGGAGGCGTTCGTTATAGTCACACCAACGCACATGCTGCATGTGTGGAGAGTAGCAGCAGGGGGGCGACATGGCAGGAGCCAGCGAGCCAGCCAATGGCAGGTGGCATGGGCGGTGCCTCTGAGGGACGTGATTGGTTGCTGCAGCATGCAACCCCTGGACTCCCATGTGCTCCATGAGAGAGGGCGCACAGCAGAGGCAGGCGATGCAGCAGCAACTGACAGCAGCGCACCATCCCATGCCGCAACACCACATCCTGCTGCCTCCATCTCACCTGCTCCTCATGCCCCTCTCTCCATGCTGCCGCCCACCGCTACGTCACTACCGCCGGCGAAGCTGTTGCCAGAGACCACTGCTGTGGATGGAGGGCACACTAGGGCCGAGGCTGCAGCTGTCGAAGCAAGTGCAGCATCGACAGTTGTTGGTGAGTGAAGTCCAATTACTCTCTCCACGAGTGACGCTGTGCACTTGTCTTCATCTTGTGTCGTCTGCTTCTACTCATGTAAATCCACTCCCACCCTTTCGTCTGCCCACATGTGTGGTGTGCCATTGTCTGCTACTCTCTGCTGTGCGCCCTGTGGCATTCAGTCATGGAGCTCCCAGCAGAGGGCACAGCGCGAGCCTCACTGCATGGAAGGACTCTCCAGCTCTCTACTGCTAAGGTGGCTCACGACTTCATTCAGCTTATGAACGCCACCACGGCTAAAGGTCAGAACATGGGCTGAAGAAACTCAAGTATTAACGTGGGTATATCATTTTATGGAGTTTTTTTTTTGGTTAAAAAGCAAGCAGAAGCAGTTATGGAATTGGTGGTGATTTGAGTGCTTATGCAAGGAGGGATGTTCACATGCAGTAAATAAAGATGCAACTACTGTACTGATGTTTCCATACCAACCACTGGGCTTTCTTAGCGGAGCGTCGAACTGACGTTGACGAAAACAGACTCGGTAAAATCAGAGGCTGAATCTCCTGCTCCCGGAATCTTGGTGCCAACGCGAACGCGCATGCAATCAGAAGCATCCAGCGTGGATTCAAAGCCACACGGTCCACGCGAAAGGCTGTTCCCCACGTCAGGTTGCGGAGTCTCGGGAAGTTGGGCCACGTAAGATCTCTCGCCTCGCCTAACCTCCGCTTCAGGAACAGGCCCCAGGCTCCAGCCTCTGCCCTCCCCTCCTCTCCACCGTGGCCTATCATAGGCAGCAGAGCAGCAGAGCAGCAGCAGCAGCAGCGTCCCCCAGGATTGCACGGAACAAACTCAAGGCTGGAGCTCAGCTTCCCAACCATTTCCCTCGTCCGCCGCATATTCTCCTGACTTCCACCTTCCAAGCCACACCCCAGCCATCTCCTTTCCTCCACCGCCTCCACCTTTCAAGGTCAGCCCCTTGATACCACCAGCACACCCAGCTGGTAGCGATCGGCATTGAGCAGCTGCTGACCGTCGCTGCCCGCCATGGCTCGAGGAAAGGCGGCTCACCTCATCCTGTCCCGCGGCCACCTGCTCTTCCCGCAGGTGCTCGTCCTCGCAGCCGCGATCCTCTGTTATCTTACAAGCGACAGAACGGGATAAGCCAGAAATGAATGAAGAACGAAAGAGGGTCCTAGCGTGCATGCATTTCTTGCTGGGAGTTGGTCTGACGCGCATCCCTCATCCCTCATCCCGCATCCCACGGTCACCAGGCCCGCCATGCGGCCGCCGCGGCATGCAGGCTGGACGCGCTGGTCCCCGCAGCATCAGCAGCGCGCGGCAGCGGCAGCGGGCGGGCGTTCAGCTCCAGCTCCGCTCCGCCGGCGGACGGCGAGGCGGCGAAGCAGGAGCTGACGCCCGTGCAGGCGGAGTGGGCGAAGCGCGCGTCCAAGGAGATTAAGGGCGGCGACCCCTTCGACGAGCTCAAGACGCTCTCGCCCGAGGTCGGTCGGCCGACGCTAGGTCTCCGCAGTGAAACGGATCTGTGGCAGTGCTTGCAAGGGCAGTGTCTGTTGCACCTTCGATAGTTCTGAACCGCGGTTGCGACTATTTTTATTCCCTCCTCGCATTGCGCGTTCTGGCCACCGAAACATGTTTTTTATTCTCTTATCGCGTTTTCTCGTGGGCACCATGTGTGTGTGGGTTCGCGTGTGGCTCGGCGCGCAGGGCATCTGGATCAAGCCCGTGTACTCGTACTCGGACGTGCCCGAGGAGTCCAAGAGCGAGATGCCGGGCGTCTTCCCCTTCTCGCGCGGCCCCTACGCCACCATGTACACGCAGCGCCCCTGGACCATCCGCCAGTACGCCGGCTTCAGGTAACCACCACGCCTCTCGTCCCCCCCTCCCAATTCCTCGCCACCTGTGCCATGCCCCCTGTCGCAGCCGCCGTTCACTGCTGCGCGCACGAGATTCCGTCACGCCCTCTCTTCGACTGGTCGATCCACTCCGTCTGTCGCTCACGCCCCACAAATCCCTCGTCTCTAACCGCATTCCCCTTTCCCCCTTCCCCACCCGCTCCCCCCAGTACGGCGGAGGAGTCGAACGCGTTCTACCGGCGCAATCTGGCGGCGGGGCAGAAGGGGCTGTCGGTGGCCTTCGATCTCGCCACGCACCGCGGGTGAGCGCACGGGGGAGGGCGGCGCAAGAGAGCAAAGGAAGGGGGAAGAAGAAGGGTCGCTTTAAAATGGGGACGGTTGATGCGTGGGTGCCGCGTTAGTGCGCGCCATACCCAATCCGTGTCTAATGCCGTCCCATCCCTCTCTCGAGTGCGCCCACGCTTCTCCCTTCTCCTCACCATTCCCCTCCCGCCACCCGCGCCCCCCCCCCTTCCCTCCCTCCCACTTCCCCCCCCATCCTCGCGAAACAGGTACGACTCGGACCATCCGCGCGTGGTGGGCGACGTGGGCATGGCGGGCGTGGCGGTGGACAGCGTGGAGGACATGAAGGTGCTGTTCGGCGGCATCCCGCTGGACAAGATGTCGGTCTCCATGACCATGAACGGCGCCGTGCTGCCCGTCATGGCCTTCTTCATCGTCGCCGCGCAGGAGCAGGGTGAGAGGGGAGGGGGGGAGGGAGACGTAGGAGCAGGGTGAGAGGGGGGGGGGGGAGGGAGACGCAGGAGCAGGGTGAGAGGGGGGGGGGGAGGGAGACGCAGGAGCAGGGTGAGCGCACAGCGCAGGGGAGGTAGGTCGCGCGCAGGAGCAGGGCCGGTCGGAGGAGGTAGGGTGGGGGAGGGTAGATCACTGCGCAGGAGTAGCAGGGTGAGCGCACAGGAGGCGGGAGAGGGGGGGGAGTGGGCAGATCGCCGCGGAGGAGCAGGGCCAGTCGGGGGGGCGGGGGGCAGTAGCGATGCGGGGATGACGTGGAGGGAGTGGCAGCAGGAGGAGAGGGACGCGTTGGGGAAAGGCGAGCAGGCACGTGGTCGGGTGGGGGGAAAGCAGACAAGGTCGGAGCAGGCGCGCGGGAATACGACGAGTTGAGGCGAGCAACACCGCAGCACTGCGGGGCGTTCAGCGCGGCCTAGAGAAGGCGTAACGCCGTGGATGTGCGCGCTCCACCGTGCTCCCTCGCTCTCGCGTCCTCCTCGTTGCCCGCTCCTCCATTCACCTCCTTTTCGCTTCCCCCCCCCCTCTCACCTCCTCTCTTCCCCCCGCGCGCGCGCAGGCGTGGACCTGGCGAAGGTGGCGGGGACGATTCAGAACGACATCCTCAAGGAGTACATGGTGCGCAACACGTACATCTACCCGCCCGCGCCGTCCATGCGCGTGGTGGGCGACATCATGGCGTACACCAGCCGCCTCATGCCCAAGTTCAACTCCATCTCCATCTCCGGCTACCACATGCAGGAGGCCGGCGCCGACTGGTAAAGCCGGTTTGAAATTCACTGCACTGCTCGCTGCACGTTGCATTGCGCGTTGCTCGCTGCTCGCTGCATCGCCCCACCAACCTTCTATTCTGCCTCGCCCTCGCCCCCACGCCGTGCCTGCCCCTCCCCCCCCCTCGTTTAGCGCGGTGGAGATGGCGTTCACGATAGCGGACGGGCTGGAGTACATCCGGTGCGGCATGCAGGCGGGCGTGGGCGTGGACGAGCTGGCGCCGCGCTTCTCCTTCTTCTGGGCCATCGGCATGAACTTCTACATGGAGGTGCGCGCTGGCGCGCAGGGAGACACGCACCGTTAGCACAGGCAGGGAAGAGATGATGCAGACGCGCGCCAAGGAACACCACGAAACTATCGCCACTGGATCAACTGCATTGCTACACGCATAACCCCTTTGTGCCTCTTCTCTTCCCGCCTGCACATCCCCACATGACTCTTTCGCGCCTGTGCTCCCCGTGCCTGTGTGTCCCCCGTGCGCCTGCCCATTCTCCCTGTGCGCGGCTCTGCAGATCGCCAAGATGCGCGCAGCCCGGCGCGTGTGGGCCAAGCTGGTCAAGGTGCGTCAAGCTCCCCACATCGCTGCCACTCCTGTCGCCAACCCATTCCCGTCCTCGAGTGCTTCTCACCGCGCTTTGTGTTCCGCTGAATGCCGCTGCTGCCCCTCTCCCGTTGTTCGTTTAGCCCGCCGCTCACTTGTCTTTTCCTCTCGACCCCACCCGTACATGTGGCCCCTCTCGTGCCCCGCAGGAGAAGTTCAACCCCAAGAACTCCAAGTCGCTCGTTCTCAGAACGCACAGCCAGGTGAGGGGCACAGTGCCATCACACCTGTCAGCGCCCTCTCACTGCTCAATCCACCCTTTTCCGTTCCCCTTGCAATGCTCCCCCCAAGCTCTCGGACCTTCCCTGTCGAACGTACCCCCCTCCTCCTCCCTGGCCTGGCCACAGACGTCGGGGTACTCGCTGACGGAGCAGGACCCGTACAACAACGTCATCCGCACCACCATCGAGGCCATGGCCGCCGTGCTGGGCGGCACGCAGTCCCTGCACACCAACGCGTTCGACGAGGCCCTGGCGCTGCCCTCTGAGATGAGCGCGCGCATCGCGCGCAACACGCAGCTGATCCTGCAGGAGGAGGCGGGCATCACGGCCGTGGCGGACCCGTGGGGCGGGTCGTTCATGATGGAGGCGCTGACCGCGGACCTGGAGAAGACAGCGCTGGCCATCATCGAGGAGGTGGAGGCCGCGGGCGGCATGACCAAAGCCATCATGTCCGGCATGCCCAAGCGCAAGATCGAGGAGTGCTCCGCGCGCAAGCAGGTGGGATGCTGGGATGATGGCCGAGAAGTGGGCCATTTGGTTGTGACAGGTGGAGTTGAGTCCCTGCTTGCTGCTCTCCATCTCACCTCCCACCCTTGAACCTCCCCCCTCTCCCTCTCCCCCCCCCTCTCCCTCTCCCCCCCCTCTCCCTCTCCCCCCCCCCCTTCGTTTCATGATGGTGGGCACGCGACGGGGCATCAGGCGCGGGTGGACAGCGGCAAGGACGTGGTGGTGGGGGTGAACAAGTACCGTCTCAAGGAGGAGGAGGGCGTGGAGCTGCGCCACATCGACAACGCCGCCGTGCTCAAGAGCCAGGTCAAGCGCCTCGGCGAGCTCAGGGCATCCCGAGACAATGAAAAGTAAGCCATGGCGCGCCTGCCCTTGCCCTGACTCCCTGTTCACCCCGCCGTGCTTCACCTGCCGCTCCATCCCGCGCTCTCCTTCCCCTTGCTCTCCGCCACCTCCACACTGCCTTCTGCCCCACACACCCACTAGCCTCCCCCTCGCTCTCTATTGACTTACTCGCTCACTCGCACTCATCCATTGCGCTTCCCCCCTCTCTCCCCCCACCCCCCACCACAGAGTGAAGGAGGCCCTGGCAGCGCTGACCGCGGCGGCCAAGAGCACGGAGCGTGGCGAGGGGTGCAACCTGCTGGCGCTGGCAGTGGAGGCAGCGCGCGCGCGGTGCACACTGGGGGAGATCAGCGACGCACTCGAGGCGGAGTGGGGCCGCCACGTGGCGGACTCCACCGTTGCCACGGGTGCCTACAGGTGTGCGCCTCCGCTCGCACTCCCCTTGCCTCTCCTCTGTCCCTCATCTCTCCCCTGCATTGCAGCCTACTTGCCACTCTCATCTCCCCTACTGCCGACCATGTGACCCTTTTCCTCTTGTTGCTGCTCCTCCCCCCCTACCCGCATCTGCGCAGGGGCGAGTACGGGCGCGCCACGGGTGGGCAGGAGACGGAGGAGCTGGCGCAGGTGAAGGCTCAGGTGGAGGCGTTTGAGAAGCGCACGGGACGGCGGCCGCGCGTGCTGATCGCCAAGATGGGGCAGGACGGGCACGACCGCGGCGCCAAGGTGGTGGCCACGGGCCTGGCGGACCTGGGGTTCGACATCGACATCGGCCCACTCTTCCAGACGCCCGCTGAGGTGGCGCGGCACGCGATGGAGGCGGACGTGCACGTGGTGGGCGTGAGCTCGCAGGCGGCGGGTCACAAGACGCTGGTGCCGCAGCTGCTGGAGGAGCTGAGGGCGCAGGGCATGCAGCGCGTGCTGGTCATTGCAGGGGGCGTCATCCCGCCCGACGACTACGAGTTCCTGTTCGACAAGGGCGTGGGCGCCATCTTCGGCCCCGGCACGCGCATCCCCAAGTGCGCCCTCGAGATCCTCTCCAAGATCAACCCAGAGGCGTAGAGGCGTAGAGGCGTAGAGGAGAGGGCATCAGAGTGGAGTGCGTAGGGGGAAGCATCTGAGCTCGTTTTATTCAGCCGATTTTGCTTTGCACTACCTACTCGGAATTGCTTGTGCTGGATGCTGCTTGCTTGCGGTGCGTTGATTGCATTGCAATACCAGTTACCGTATTGTATTGAATGAGGTGTACGATAATCGCATGAGTTGTAAAACATTTTGCGATGGGGCACACGTGAATGTAAAACTACATCTAGAGACCTGCAGCGAAGCATGCGCCATGTCACATGTGCATTCCAGAACGTGCACTATTATTCCAACAGCATTGCATATCAAGACTACACTTGGTTGGCAGACTGATCATGAGACATGGAGCTTATGGCACTGGGTCATGGAGGTGCCAAGACCATACCGTACAAGCAAGAGAGAGCAAGCAACAACGTAGCTGAGAGGGCGTTCTAAAAAAAACAGAGGCTCTAAATCCACCACTTGTTCTAGTGTTGACGGCATGGCGCTAGTGCTGGATGGAGATGGCGCCCACATTGCCTGCAAGGGCATACGTGCGAGAAGTGAGGCCCCTCGACCGCTCTATTAGGTTCTCGTACCTGGCACGGGCGGGGGGGAGGCGGGATGGGGAGAGGCGAGCAGAGCAAGGATGCAGAATGGGAGAAAGGAAGCAAGGGGGGGCGGACATGAGAAGGGAAGATGAGGAGGAGGAACGTGGCAGCATGGGGCGTGCAGGCAGCAGGGCGTAGAGGAGGGTTGCGAGGTAAATACACGCACATATGCACAAGCGCATGCATGTGCACGTGCAGAGGGCCGTACACGTTGGGTTGTGCGGTGGTCATGACGAGCGTGCCGGCCTCGGAGTCGATGGTGGCGTCCAGCTTCGCCGTGCGGATGAGGTTCGCTATCCACCGCTCCGCCGCGTCCGCCGCCATGTTCAACTTCTCCGCCAGCACCCTGATGGGCAAGCGAAGGGTGGGGGCGAGCGGGGGGGCGGTGAGAGGCGAGCAAAAGCACTATTGCTGGCTGGCGTTGCATGGCCCACGTAGTCCACACATTGACCCAGAGACATCCACTCAGCATGGCAGGCTCACCTCATGTGCATGTAAAAAACGGCGCTCACTTGATGTGAATGCGCTGACTGCTCACTTGATGTGGATGTGCTGATTGCTCACTTGATGTGGATGCGCCGGTGGATGCTGCAGTAGTTCTCAAACAGCAGCATCCTGGCGCTGTCGATGAGCTCCTCTTGGAACGGCACCGCCACGTACCCCGCCTCCGCCACGCGCTTGCCCAAAAAGAAGTCGTTCGCCAGCAGCTGGCGGGCCGCGCACACCGGGGGGAGGGGGGGTGGAGGAGCGGGTGAGAGAACAGGGTGAGGAGGGCGGATGTGGAGGCAGAAGAGAGCGGGTGCAGTGACAAGGAATGCCCTCGGTGGCCGCGGAGGCTGCATGCACCAGAGGGAGGGGCTCCCAGGAAACAACCCCTTCACCCCCCTACCCCCCTTTTCCCCCCCTCCCCTCCCCCCCCTCCAAGAGCAGCACCTCGTCGCACTCCTTGAGGCGGGTCTGCGCGTCGTCGAAGTCGAGGTCCGTGACAAGCGCGGTCAGGAAGAGCGTGAGCGGGTCGCTGTACGCGTGGCGCTCCGCCTCCACCACGCGCGCCACGTCCTTGACGGCGCTGCGGCGCCGCTTGCACGTCAGCACCGCCGCCACCAGGTAGCGCAGCAGGTGCGGCGCATTGGTCTGAATGGCGCTCAGGTACCTGTGGGAAGGGGGCGGGATGAAGAGGGCTTGGATGAATGGTGGAGACTTAGGAAAGACGACGAGAGAGAGGGAGAGAGTGAGGTGAGATAGGAAGGTGGGAGCGCGAGGTGAGATAGGAAGGTGGGAGCGCGAGGTGAGATAGGAAGGTGGGAGCGCGAGGTGAGATAGGAAGGTGGGAGCGCGAGGTGAGATAGGAAGGTGGGAGCGCGAGGTGAGATAGGAAGGTGGGAGCGCGAGGTGAGATAGGAAGGTGGGAGCGGGGGGAGTGGAGGGGAAGAGGGGGAGAGGGGAAGACAGGAGCACGGGATCAGGGGCGAGGGACATGTGAGTGAGGCAGAAAGCTGCGTTTGACCATCCGTCCTTCGCATCGCCTGACCCTGACCGCCCGTACCAACTGGTTACGGACGTCGTGACATCGCCGTTGGTGCGAAACTGTTACAGGACTTTGGCGAAGGCCTGCAGTCAATCGCCTACGAGTCGCGAAAGCATGAGATGGAAACGGAGGGGAGGGAGGGGACGCGGCGAGGAGGGCAGTGTGGGGAGAGGGGGATGACGTGGATGGAGACAACGGGGGAGACCGGGGGAACGGGACGCGGCCAGGGAGCGAGGGGAAAGGGGGGAGGAAGTGGGGGGGGCAGGGGTAGGGGGTAGGGGGTAGGGGGTAGGGGGTAGGGGGTAGGGGTGACGGACTTGTCAGTGAGGAAGAGATCGACGAGGTTGGAGCGGCCGTTCTCGGAGTGCAGCATGACGAACAGCGCCCAGTGCAGCAGCCACGTGCGCTGCTGCAGCACCGCCAGCGGCGACGCCACGCTCTGCACGGGTGGGGGAAAGAGGGGAGAGGGGGGTCACGGATGCGAATGAAAACAGGAGGCTAGCTGGTTGAGAGGGGGGGCGAGTGAGAGCGCGTGTGGCGCCATGGGATGGCGGGGTGCAGCACACGCGGTGGCAGCGAAGCGGGCTGCGCCACAGGACCGCTGGAAACAGCACCTGCCCCACAGACCAGCAGCCCCCCTCCCCCCCCTCCCCCTCCCCTCCCCCCCTTTCCTCCTCACTTTCCCCTCAAGTCCTCACTTGTGCGGCCCCCACCTGCGACTCAACCATCTACCCCCCCACCTGCGACTCGACCATCTCCCCCCCACCTGCGACTCGACCATCCCCCCCCCACCTGCGACTCGACCATCTCCCCCCCCACCTGCGAGTCGCCCCACCCCCCGCCCCCACCACCTGCGAGTCGATCATCTCCTTGACGCGCGCGAGCTCGTCGCCGGCGGCGTCCCAGCTCTGCATGAGGATCTCCGCCGCCAGCTTGCCCCACGACGCGCTCAGCGCGCGCGCGGGGTCGGAGCAGAGCAGGCGGTACTGGTATAGGAAGTCCGCGGCGCCGCTGTAGTTGCCGCATTCAAACTGGAACTTGGCGTAGCTGTACAGCGCCTCCACGCCCGCCGCGCCGATCTGAGCCGCGCGCGCGCGGGGACGGGCGGAGGGGGAGCGGATAGGGGGACAGGGGGGGCAGGGGGGACAGGGGGGATGAGCGGAGGAGCGCATGCGAGTGGTGACGGGCGCGCGGGTGGATTGGAACGAAACGGAGGGCGGGGCGAGGCGAGGGCGCAGGGGAGAGGGGGGAGGTGGGGAGAAAGGAGGCAATCGCGTGCGTGCGATTGGGATTAGTGACGCCGCGACGACCGAGGCAGCCGCACACACCCACCTGGTACTTCTCCTGCAGCATGAGCAGGTTGTACGCCTTGTCGGACCGCAGCTCCTGCACCGTCGCCGGGTTCTGCAGGAACGCCACCAGCGGCGCCGCCGCCTCCTCCAGCGACTTGAGGCGACTCACCACCTCGCCGCGCCGCTCCACCATCGCTGCGCGCATCGCCCGCCACCCCAATAGCCCGTCAGCCCAATAATCCGCCAGCCGACAGCCCGCCAGCCCCGCGTACCCGACGGACAACACGGCGGACGGCGGGGAAGGGGGAAGGGAGGGAGGGAGGTGGGAGAGAGAGGGGAGAGATTCAGGGTGGCGGCACAGCACGGCGCACGAGGAGGGGATGGGCCACGCAAAGAGACGCGGCGACGACCCCCCGCAACGAGGGTTCAATGAGGGTTTTACGCACAGCGGTCAGCGCGAATGTCAGCGTCGCTAAACCCGATAAGCTAATCGACGCGTGACGCCGCGTCGACGCCACGACACCACGCAAAGCCCTCCGCAAGTGCCTTCCACCATCCACTATCCCACGCTCATCACGCCTCGCCTCGCCCTCATTGCCCGCCCTAATTCCGCCTTCCGCAGCCCTCTACGCACATACCGACCTTCCGGAATCCCCGTTATAAGGTTTGGCTCACAGGGCGGGACTTGGTCGGAGTGGTGCAGCGACTTGTGGATGTCCATGGCGTAGTCCACCATGTTGGTGCGCGCCAGCAGCTCGATCTTCGCCGTCAACACCTCCTCCTCCGGATAGATCTGACGGTCCTGAAGAAACTCCAGCAACGGAAACACCAGATGCCGGTCCAAAAACGGCGCTATCTTCGACGTTAGGTCAGTGGCCGCCATGGCTTCACGACGAGCTAGCACGCGGGGAAATTGGGATTAATGCGGGCCGGAAAGGTTTACGAACCACGCAACGTGATACGGCAGCCCCGATTAACCAAAAGGGGCGCGATCGGTAGAGGATGAGGAGCGGTAGTGACTAGCCGCGGCGTGGAACGCGGGACTGGGAGAGTGGGTGGAGGAGAGAAACCCGAGTTTCAAAAAAGGGAAGAGGGGAAGCCAGCAACGGGGATAATTATGACGACATACTCGTGTTGTTCAACATAAATCAATGTGTCTACATGCCCTTGAAACATTAACGATTATACATACAATATTACTTCCCATTCCATCACTTGCCGTAGACTCCGAGCTGCGTGGCACCAAGTTGATAACACTGTCAATTTCGAATTCAAATTTCCTGCCAATATTGGTATACACTTTCTAACGACTTAGAGCTTTACAAAGGCCAATATGCGTAATGTTTGTAAGAACCGTGAAAGGTGGTTGTTTGTCTTTCGTTGGTCATGGGTGAAGGTTTCTCTTCAATTGAGAAAGCTAGCTTTCTTTCTTTTGCAATGGCAGCATGCTTCACTTCAATCGGCTGCTTTATTGCTCCATGTGAGTTCGCATTATAAAACAAACAAGAAATGAGCTGCAGTTGGACGAGCTGATTTGAAGATGTGGGTCGAGGCCAAATGGCCTCGGCTCGGCCCCTTCTTTATACTCGGCGAAGAGCATTGAGCACTTAGCAATTGCCATTGCTGCATTACAAGCAGCCGGGAATATACATTTTTTCTCACTGATTACACTAACATTGCAGTTCAGGCAGGGTCCTCCCTGTCGGACAGGGCCTTTGGGCTCAGGATGGAAAAGCAAGCTAGTTGGCAGCGTGTGCACATCCAGTAAATCGCTGTGGTGTGTCATATCCACCACACCCAGCACGTGATTTCAATTTGGGCGTGAAACATGGCCAGGGCAACAGCAGAACGACGACCACAGTTGGCTCTGCGTGACATGACCCTGATGGCGGCCTTGCGATGTGGTACAGAATGCAGCGTAAATAATAGCAGCAAGCATACACAAAATAAGCATTGATGAAAAAGGCCCTACAACCAGCTTGGCCGCAACACAGTGCTAAGACTAGACAGTATAGGGGCGAAGAGCAAGCCACACGAATAGGGGCTCATGTGCGCGTGGCGGCTAGTAGAAGCGCGTGATGAGGTGGAAGTCGTCGTCCTTGAGCGCGCGCACGTCCTTGGCGCCGATAAAGTGCTCCAGCCCGATGTTGTGCACGATGTCCACGAACTCGCGCCGCCGCGCCTCGTTGTACGGCATGTACGGCAGGCGGAACACGGGGCGCACGAGGCCCAGCTGGCAGAGCGCGGTGCTGAGCCCGATGGGGTTAGGCTCGAGGAAGAGCCATTTGGTCAGTGGCGCCAGCTTCGCGTTCAGCTCGGGGTGCGGGCCCGTCGTCAGCATCTCGTGCACCAGCCCTGCCGGGGGGAGTGAGCAGGGGACGTCATTGCAGTAGAAATGAGGCACGCGTCCCGTAAGAGAGGCGCTTGGGAGGGCGATGCTGAAGAGCACGATGCGAGGCACAAGGCAGCCGCCATGGTGGTAAAGTATGGAGGCAGGAGGCGGCACGTACCGGGAACGAGGTTGCTGAGGACGGAGATGACGCCGTTGGCGCCGTGCTTCCACTTGGCGTCGTGGCACTGGTCGTCGTTGCCGCTCCACACGACGATGCCCTTGCTGGTGTGCGCGGACACGCGCTCGTTGCCCACGCACTCCTTGACGCCCGCGAAGTTCTCGTGCTGCGCCAGCTCCTCGATCACGTCGGGCGTCAGGTCCGTACCCGTGCGCGCCGGCACGTTGTACACGATGGCAGGGCCCATGGGCAGCACCGCCCTGCGGGGACCAACGCGGGGAGGGGAAAGGGGAGGTTAGAGGACGGGGGTTCCACGGTGTAGAGGCAGTAGTGGCATGCTAGGTGGTGTTGCCTCATTCCATTTTTGTCCGAGTATCGGTTTGGCACAGTAGCGGAAGTAGCGGGCAGCACAGGGCGGCGCGTGACTCACTTATAGTGTTGGATGAGCCCGTCGACGCTGGTCTTGCCGTAGTAGGGGTTGATCTGCAGCGCGGCGTGCATGCCGACGGCGAAGCCCTGCTCGGTGGCGTGCATGGCCTCGCCGGTGCTGTTGGACCCCGTGTTGCCGATCACCTTCAGCTTGTCCCCGAAGCAGTACACCGTGTGCGCGATGAGCATCACGTGCTCGTCCCAGCTCATCAGGTGCCCCTCGCCCGTCGTGCCGCCCACGATGATGGCCTCCGTGCCGTTCTCGATCTGGTGGTGCACCAGGTAGTCGTACGCGTCGATGTCGAACCGCCCGTCCGGCAGGTACGGCGTCTTGATGGCCGTCACCAGCGACAGCGCCTTGATCTGCTCGATGTGCGGCCTGCCGTGACGGGGGCACGGCGGGGAGGCGGAGGAGGGGGAACAGGAAAAGGGAGAAAAAAAGGGGTGAGTGCGATGCCATGACGCGTCACGGACAGAGCAATGCGGAATCACGAGGCGAAACGTGGTCGTCTCTAGAGCCGGCGTGTGTGTGGAGGCCCGCGGCAAGAGCAGGGCGACAGACGGGGGGGGGGAAGGGAAGCGGAGCGTACAGGTTCTTCTCCTCGTGGCTCTTCATCGGCACGGGCGGCGCCTCCATCATCGCTGCGCGAGCTGCGCCCGGTCGTCTGAGTTGAAGGCGTTTCGGCGCGGCTTTCACGACTGTTGCGCCATTTAATGAATGCGCCGCCTTCGCAGTATCTGCTCGGAGCGTGGCGCATGCAGAGCCGAGGCGCAACGACGTAGTCGTGGCCATTGTGTGTATCAGTATAGTTGCAGTCGGAACCTTAGTGTGCTGGGAGGAGTGTGAACAGAGCAGAACGAAGAGCGGCCTGACTCGGGAGTATGACGTTGTGAAGGGAGGAAGATTTAGTCGACTTTTGAATTCACTCCTCGTGGCTGGATTGATGTGGGAGAGGAGTGGATGGGGGAAGGGGAAGACTGTCGCTTGTTTGGGGGACGGGCAGGAGGAGGGGGGTCGACAAAGGGGGATTTCCGTGCTTTGGGGAAGGGGATGAAGCGACTCGGGCTGCAAGTAACGTGGAAGTTGATGATTCGTCATCACTTTCCACATGGCCATGAGCCCCAACGAATACCTTCACCACAGCAGGTTACTTGCCCACACTGACCGCCGACGACTGCCCGACCGCCCTAGCTATTGTTTTTTAGTTCATGGGTTTTACACATTCTCTGAACTCCATGGCCCCAGGAACTGACTTCCCTAACAGATTGTCCCTGATTATGAACATTCACGCTTAGGGTCGATGTCTGCATTATCGGACGCTCCCTGCCCCAAAAAAACGCCTTTGCGCTGTTGGCCGTCTCCAATCAGCGGCTGTCGGCTGGCAGCCGATTGAGATGCTCCACGTGTGATCTGAATGGCCAGCTCGACAATCTCCAGGAAAGCTGCGCAATGTAACGAATTGCCATACGACTTTGTGGATGACACGGTTGAAAGGCGAACAAATGGGAGTATGTTCAGAAAGTATCAAGCAACGGCGCGGCCGTGCAGTGCTGTCGCACGTGGGGAGAGCCAGCAATAAGGAAACTTGCTCCAGCGGGACTGCTCGTTGTCAGAGAAGCACGGTGTGGTGGGTTCTCCTGTCATGCTTTGCTACGTTGCGTTGTTGTCTAACCCGCTCAGACTACTACAAGTAGACAGCCCAGCTTTAAATGATACCTTATAGCTTTCTAGCATGCATTAGATCCATATTTTGCTGTTACGTTTGCTTTCACGGCCAATGAACTCGCCAATCTGGATGAAAATATGAGATACAAAAAGTGGTGCTGCTACGTCATCTCATGCCAAAGGAGGTAGCAAGTAGCGTAATCTCATTGGCATCTGCTGTACGGGACATGCTACACGCTGGCAACTCGTTATTGAGCGCTTCCGGCCGGCGTTGAACCGTACTTTTCGTAATGTACCTGTTACCAGGAAACGAGAACCTTCGGTGGGTGTTTTCGCAATTCGTGCACCAGTGGTGACAGGTGCTTCGAGCACTTCGCTGGTATTGTGTCGTGTCTGGTCGCTGACGTGCGGCGCTTGTTCAGCTGTATTTCCACGCGGCATTTCCTCACCAGCCCTTTGTTTGTTCCTGCCCAAAGCTGCGCAGCCCGAGCTGACACCCTAGGGCATCGGAAATACGGATTCGTCGAGAGAATTTCTTGCCGAACAGTTTCAATGCATAGCGAAACCCAGTTCCAGGTTCTAGTGAAGTTCCCCAGGTCGTTAAGGTTCAAGCGAAGAGCCCAGAAGGTGAAGCCTCAAGCAATGATGATTGGAAAACTCTCCCCGGGTTCCTTTCTCCCCTGCCCGTTTTGTTCTGCCCGAAGCGTCCGTATATATACCCCCAAGTCCCAGCACAATGCGCTCGCCCGGTGCTGCGTTTGGTGTGGCGTAGAGCAAAGCGCTTTTCCAAATCGCACCTCGCCAATCAAGCAAGACGATCCACCCACCTTTCCTCCCTGCTCGACTTGTTTCTAGGGTTTCGCCACAACCAACAGCAACAGTCCACCGGTTTTTAGTGCTGAAGCACCAGTCTCCCGGCAACTAGTTTCTCCTCCCCTTAGCACACTTCAGCCGTTCCGCAACAAGTAGCAACACAAGTTCCTTACTTTGTTCGAGCGCCCGCCTGAAGCAACGCAGAGTTGACAGACATGGTGTAGCAGTCGGTGGCGCCATGGCGTTAGAGGCGGATCGACTCCGCCTTGAACTGCGCGCGTCGCGCGTCGAGTGCGCGGAGCTACGGAGCCAATTGGAGGTAGTTCTTGGTGTTCCCGTCTTTTCCCGTTTGGGTTTGTGTCTCGTCCCGATCGAACTCATCCGTCGCGTAGTCTGCGTTGCGTTTCCATGCCCAACCCTCCCTTCTCGCGTCATTCCCACTTCTCCCTGCGGCGTTCGCCGCCTGCTCTCGGCATTCCCGGCTTCACGCACACTTTGTGTGCTTCCCCGCGCCATCCCCCTTCGTGTGGACAGAAGGCGGGCCCGGCGGGGATAGAGCGCGCGAGGTATGGGGTGGGGGGGGAGCGCGAGGCGGAGTTGGCGCAGCGAGTGGAAGAGCTGACGCGGGAGGTGGAGGCGGAGCGGCGAGAGGCGGAGCGCGCGAGGCGATTCCACGAGGACGAGCTGACGATGCTGCTGGCGTCCAACAAGGACAAGGAGGCCGTCTGGACCAGAAAGGTACACCTCCCTCCCGCCTCTTCCGCTCTCCTTCCTCCTCACTCCCTCTCTCCATCTTCTCTCCCCCCGCGCTCCCCCCTACCCGCCTCCTCCCCTGTCCTCTCAATTATCTCTCTTGCGGTGTGCGGTGTGCGACGCTGTGTGGCGGCAGGAGATGGAGTTGGAGCAGGAGCTGCGCGAGCTGAGAGAGCAGCTGGACGGAGCCAGGCGAGGCCACTCGCTAGAGGGGCAGCTGCACGCGCTCGAGGATCGCCTGGCGGACGCCAGAGAGGGTGAGACGCGCGCGGTGAAAGGGGGGGGAGGGGAGGGAGGTAGGAGAGAGGGCAAGGGGATGAGATGCTTTGACCTCACAGTCGGCTGCTTGGGTTTCCGCTGTCAGCACATGCTGCCCCCACATTCCGCTTCCCCCCGTCGCTCCTAGTTGCGTCCGAATTCCCTCATCCTCTTTTATGTCTGCCCCGCCCACTCTCACCCCCTCCGCTATCCCTTGTGCGTCATCCTCTCGTATCCTGTCTACCGCTGCTTTCCGCCGTCCCTTCTCCCCCCGTCCGTGGGCCGCCGCTGGGGCCTCTGGGGTGCGCACCTCGCGCTCCCCGCCTGGCCTGCCCTCCTGCGTTCTCCCGTCTTCCGCGAACCATCTCGTTCGCTCCCCCCCTACGCCTTTCCCCCTTCCAACCCCCCCCCCGCTCGCCCTGCAGCGCTGTCGCTGGCGGAGGCATTTGCGGAGGAGCAGCGGGTGGTGCGGGAGGAGGCGGACGAGCGCGTGCGCGCGCAGGAGGCGGAGGTGGAGATGCTGCAGGCGCGCGTGGAGGACATGGCGGAGCAGGCGGAGGAGGACGAGGAGGAGATGGCGGCGCTGGAGGAGGACCTGGCGCGCGCCATCAAGCGCGTCGAGGAGCTGGGGCTGCGCTCTGCCGCCATGACCATTGAGGTGCTGTGAGCCGCCATGGCCATCGAGGTGCTGTGAGCCGCCATGGCCATCGAAGTGCTGTGCGCCGCTGGGGGAGGGGGCTGGGCGGACAGGGTTAGCACCCTTGGCAGGGCGGTGTGGTGTGCGGATTGCCCCTGGTCACGTACGGATTCCCTGGGTCTCATACTGCCATTTGCCCATCTCAAATCCCCTTGGCGTTTTGAACCCCCAACCCGCTTCTCCCGCCCCGCACAGATGGAGCAGGTGCAGGAGGAGCTGCGGCGGGAGCGGGAGTTGCTGCGGGGGACGGAGGTGGTGGCGGAGGCGGAGTGGCTGAGGCGCGTGGCGCTGGAGCGGGAGAAGGCGGCGCTGCAGCGCGAGGTGGGGCGCGCGCAGGCGGACGCGGACGAGCTGTGGCTGGCGCTGGAGGCGTTCCGCGCGGAGGGCGTGGGCGTGGCGGAGCAGCTGAGGGCGCAGCTGGAGGAGGCGGTGCGCGTGGCGGGGGAGCGCGAGCGTGAGCAGCGGGAGGCGCTGGAGCGCGTGGACGAGGAGGTGGAGCGCCTGGCGGAGGAGGCGGACGCCGCGGCGGAGCGCGAGGAGCTGGCGGCGCAGCTGATCGACCGCCTCAAGGACCACAACGCGCTGCTCGTGCGCCAGCTGCAAGCCATGGCCAAGCGCGCAGCCGCGGGCGCAGGGGCCGTGAGCGGGTCGGACGTGGAGGAAGATAACTTCGCGTTCGAGGCGAGCGGCAAGGACGTGCGGGGCGGGCAGGGGGCGGAGGGGAGCGCGGAGGGGGAGAGCGGCGGGTTGGAGAGCGTGAGCCAGTCGTACGAGGAGGGCGAGGTGTCGCCCCTGAGGGCGCAGGCGCACAGGCAGAGCGCGGGGCTCAGCAGCGTGGAGGCGGGCAGCGTGGGGGCGAGCAGCGTGGCAGGCAGCAGCATTGGGAAGCGAGTGGGGTGGGAGGGCGCAGAGGAGAGAGGTGTGCGGGTGAGCGCAGATGGACGTGGGAGGGGGGGAGGAGAGGGCCTGTATGGGATGGCAGGGGACGGCGAGAGCCAGAGTGGCTTGGCTGGCACGTCGCCCACTCTCACACCTCCCCAGCAGCTCTCCCCCCTACCCCAGTTCCAGCACCAGCACCAGTACGAGCAGCAGGCGGCGCGACTGGCAGGCGAGGACGAGGAGGAGGAGGAGGAGGGGCTGGCGACGGATTCAGAGTTTTCGTTCTCGGTGCCGGTGCCGCGCAGCGGGGCGTGGCGGGCGGCCAAGGAGATCGCTGTGCTGTACTACGCGGCGGGGGGCGCAGGCGACGAGGACCTGGAGCGCGAGGAGGAGGAGGCGGAGGCGGCGGCGCTGGCGGAGGAGAACGAGCGGCTGGCGGAGGAGAACGAGCGGCTGGCGGAGGAGGTGGCGCGGCTGAGGGAGCAGGTGGGCAAGGGGCGCAAGCTGGTGGGCAACTACGAGAAGATGCGGCGCCGCATCATGCAGCTGCGCGTGTGCCTGGAGCTCACGCGCAAGGTGGTGGAGGTCAAGGACCGTGCCATGGAGATGGCCATGGACCGCGCCCGGCGCGCCGAGACCCGCCTCCGCGACATGGAGGCGCAGCTGCTGGAGCACCGACACGCCGCCGCTGCCTCCGCTGCTGCTGCGGCTGCTGCGGCTGCTACGGTTGGTGATGGTGCGGCGGGTGCAAGCGTTGGGGGAAAAGAGGGGCAGAAAGATGGTGTGGACGGCAAGGAGAAGGGTGGTGCGGAAGTAATCGGAGTTGCTGCTGCATCTGCTGGTGCTGGCGCCTCCAGCTCTGGAGACAGAGGTGTGGGTGGTGGGGGTGGCGCGGCGGATGCTGTGAGGGGTGCCGATGGGGAGGGGCAGGGCGAGGAGGAGGTGCTTGAGGAAGAGGATGAGATTGCGGAGATGGAGGCAGGCACGGGTGCGGGCAAGGGGCGGGGGCAGCGAGGGGGCACAAAGCGAAGGGGCAGAGCGGAGAGGGGGGAGGGCGGGGAGGGGGGCGGGGTGGGGCAGCAATCGTGTGCGTCGTCCACCACGGACCGATCAGACAGCCACCTGCTGCTGTCCGCCGCCACCCCCGTGGTGGGCGCGGGGACGGGGCGGGCGCAGGCGGCGGCGGGGCTGAAGGAGCTGCAGGCGAGCCGGGATGCGCTGCGCATCGCCATGCGCGGCGTCAGGGAGAGGGCGGCCCTGGCAGCAGAGGCGCAGCAGCGGACAGCTGGCAGGCAGGGGCGGAGGGGGGTGGGGGTGGGGGTGGGGGGCAGGAAGGCGGAGGCGGGGGCGGTGGGGGAGATGCTGGCGGAGGTGGAGGAGGAGGTGCTGGAGGGGCAGAGCCTGGTGGAGCGCGCGGAGCGCATCGTGGCGCGCATGGCGGCGCTGGAGGGCAAGGGGGGGGCCGTGGGCAAGAAGATGGAGGGCAAGCGGAAACGACTGGCAGAGCTGGAGGCGCGCCTGGGACTGGCACCCAGACGAGGTGCAGGGGGCCCTCTGGCGTGCCTGCTGCCGTTCCACCGGGGCAGCTGATGCACCCGCTGCTGCCCCTCTAACACTAACCACCTGTTCTCCCAGTGCAACTAACCGCCTCTAGCATGCACACAGATGTGTCTTTTCGTGAAGCAGTGGCACCAATAAATCGCAACATTGATGGCATATCTCATGTCTGATTTCAGCGAGTCCTGACTAACGGGGGGGAAATAATTGGGGCAAAGCTCCATGTGCATATATTTGGTCACTGATTATGAATCCTTTACAAGCCTACAGAGTGGTGTTCAGTACCAGCATAGGTGTTATGAATCATAACTCAGAGTATAGCGCAGAATAATAGGGTTGGAGTTGTACCCTCTACGAATACAAACCTATCTAGCCTATAACCTTTATATATAAATATTAAATTATATAATTTATATAATTCTAGGCTTCGTAGTTGTGCTAATTACTGAATCTTACTGTAGAGGGGACAAACCCCCTTCTTGTATCTCCTCTTCTAGTCCTATCCCTCTCTTCTCTCGACATTTCTCCTTCCTAGACCTCACACCATTCCATGGCTTCTCCCCCTAGCTAGATTAGTTTCCGATATGGTATTAGAGCAGGTTCAACGTGCTGGACCTACTTCCCACGCTTCCGCCGCGCTATCTTCCACTCTCTCTCGCGCTGCCATGGCGGCCGCGTCGTGCTGCTGTGGCGGCGTCGTCGTGCCGCCGGCCGCGTCGTGCTGCTGCGGCGGTCGCGACGCTGCTGTCGTTGCACCCTCGTCGCGCTGTCGTGGCGTCGACGTCCAGCCGTGGCAGCGTCGTCGTGCTGTCGCGACAGCGTCGATGCACCAGCACACGATCGGCAGCGGCAGCGCCGGGCCAGCCATGGCGCCGCGCTGACGATCCGCCCCCCACCCCTTCCCCTTTCCCCTCCTTTGCCTTTCCCTTCTTCTCCGCCGCAGCTGCTGGCGACCTCATGCCGTCCTCCCCCTCGACGTCTTAGGTTGAGCCACACCGCCGTTGCCTCGGGTGCCACAGCCGCCGTCGCCAGGTGCCTCGACACCTCCGCCGCCGCCGCAGGTGCTGCACGCCCTGCCGCCGCCGCCGCAGCAGTCGCCGACGCCGCCGCTGTGACTCGCCGTCGTCGTCGCCACCTTGATCGCCGAGGTGTCGACCGGCTGGTCGGCGCCACTGCTGCTGCAGGGAATGGGGGTGCAAGGAAATGGGGTGCTTGGGGTGGGATGGGCTTGCCACTACCAAGGCTAGGGGGTGTGTTAAATTATATATATTTATATAATTGTAGGCTTGGTAGTTGTGCTACTTACTGCATCCTTCTGTAGAGTGGACAAACCCCCTTCTTGTATCTCCTCTTCTAGTCCTATCTCTCTCTTCTCTCGACATTTATCTTTCCTAAACCTCACGCCATTCCATGGCTTCTCCCTCTAGCTAGATTAGTTTCCGACAATAAACATACCGTAATCACCCGGATAAACGCCCCCCCATAGGACTAGTCCCATGGTCTCT